TTTCTAAATCAAAATACATTTTTCATATTTTTACAATAATATGATATTGTTTATTTTCAACATAAAATTTCGTAATATACATATTGTCTCTCTCATTTATAGATAATGAATTTTTCGCTTCTTAATTAATGTGGGATTTTAGTGACAGTTTCTAAGCCGAGAAATGAGATGTCACACTACAGCCATACAACCATCCACATTGGTAATGGAACATTAGGTACGAAATTTGGTATGGTTTTAACTGTTTAATAACGTAATGATTCACTATAGAGAGAAGAGAGAGAGAGAGAGGAGAAAAAGACAGCTTTTTTCTCTGTCTTAAAAGCTTTGGGTAATAATCGTTGACCGAAAGCAGGCTAATGGGGGAATCAATCAATATTTTGCCTCCTTGGCGAAGACAAACCCATGAAGGTGTCAAATTTAGTGGGGGAAAATAGCAATTCTTTTCCCCCAATTACTTTTAAACTAATCAAAGCAAACAACTAGTTTGGGAAAACGACTGCTCTGCAAAGCTAAAAACCGTTACCTTCTAATCCGCTCTTTTTCTGTCCCCAGAAATGGCAGCCACAGCCACAAGGCTCTTCCATGGAGTTTGTGTAGCACACCAAAAATATCTTTCACATTAAGTAAACCCCAACTCACCCCTTATCATAATACCCCTTATGAACAGTAGTACACTGGTAAAGTGAGCTCTCTCTCTCTCTCTCTCTCTCTCTCTCTCTCTCTCTCTCTCTCTCTCTCTCTCTTCATTTCAGTAACTTTTATTGTTTTCCTCCTTATAGCCCCCTGATGGCTTTTCAGTACTTGGGTGTGTGTGCTTTTGCTTCTTTGCTCTGTATTTCCTCTGGGACTTTCTTTGCATTGATCTCATTGCTTCCTTTTTTCCCTTGATTTCTTCTTTTTTCCTTTTAATGATTCAAGTAGGGTTCAGAGTTTTTGGGTTGATTTTGTTGCTTTCCGGCCGTGTGGTTCTCTGAGCTCAGATTCTCTTTGATCGATTTTTCCTTTTCCCCCAAACCCCATTTGGTTTCTTTTCCTTCCATGACGTTGGGTTAAAGCAGAGCAGGGCAAGAAACGACATATGGGTTTCCTTCTCCTTGTGTTTAGGTGGGGTTTTGAGGTTTTTGTGAACAGTGATTATGAAAGATCTTTCATGTTTAACAAGTAAAGTACAGCTTCACCTTGAATTTTGGGGGAAATTTGCACCAGAGAGAGTTGGTGGTCTCACACTTTCGAGGCTATTTTCTTTTCCTTCTGGGGCGAGCTCCTGCTGATTGATTGATTCTTCCATTCTGTTTCTGTAATGGAGTCTTGGAGTTATGTTTCTGAAGGAAAGGGATGTATGTCTGATGAAATTAATTCACCTACTAGTTCGCTTGCAAGAAATAAAGACTCTTTGTTGGGCTGGGAATTCAAAAATCCCTGCAACTTTGGTGGCGCTATGTTAGCAACGGGTCAACAAGTCGACAATCACGGTTTCGGGGAACTTGTTTTCCCGGAAATGAGTGGGAAACAGTTACCTGACAATTCAGTTTGTGATATTCTGAGTAGCAAGGTTGCTGGGGGAAGATTTCTGAATCCAACTATGAATTCCTCCAATGCATTTCTGGGAGAGGACGAATCCACTTCAAAGCTCTCGGGCTCTATTGTGGACTCGAGCAGCCGAGATTCGTCGTTCATTGATTTAAAGCTGGGGAGATTTGCTGACCAAAGGGATGCTCATGGCTACAAATTTTTGAAGGGAGCCCCCATTTTATCTTCTTCTGAGTCATCGATGCCTTCGAAAAGGGTACGAGCTTCGGGGTTGAATTCTCAAACTTATTTCTGTCAAGTTTATGGCTGTAATAAGGATCTCAGCTCCTCTAAAGATTACCACAAAAGGCATAAAGTTTGTGAAGTTCACTCAAAGACTGCAAAAGTTATTGTGAATGGAATAGAACAAAGGTTTTGTCAGCAATGTAGCAGGTTGGTTAATTTTCCATCAGTCGTAATACTAATTCCTATGTGCTTACTTTCTGTTTCCTAATACTGCTAACAAGAAACATGAAAAGAAAATTACTTCATACTCAACGAAAGCTTTATGTCGGTCCGCATACTTCCATATTTTGCTTCCATTGAAACAAAAACAAGGTTTTCTTCTTAAAAAGAAAAAGGCAAAAAGAGAGGAGGTTTTATTTGTACAATCGCTTCCTACCAACTGTTCTTTCAGCCTTCAGGTAATTAATTCTCTCGAATTGAGATCCCTGACTTCCTTTACTGCTGCTCTTTTCTTTCTTTTTTTCAGTATCTTAAAAATCTCCATTATTTCATCCTCACTCTCTTGTTAAATCATGAATCTAGTTTCTTTTATTCTTCTAATCTTTTTTGTGCTTTCTTTGTTCATCAAGGTCAATAAATCTCTTTCTTCAGCAGATTGCAAATTTATAGTATAACTTTTACATATTGTTCCATAAATGTCTCTGGTGCAGAAGGTATTCCGATCTTCGATATGTATGTTCAGATCATTCGTCCTAGATCCATACAGAAAATTAATTTTAGTCTGTTAGAACTACCAGATTTCTATGCTGATCAACATCATCATGAACTTTAAATTTTAGAATAAAACAAGTAGGAAATTTGAGAACCTCGTTAAAAGTTAGAACCCTTATTGTTGGACACTTATCCTATGTGTCTTTTGCCGCTTGTGCTGCCCTGAGGCCCCATGGAGCGAATCGTTAGTATCTCTGCTGCTGTAATATGTATTAGCTTTTGACTTCCAGGTTTCATTTGCTAGCTGAGTTTGATGATGGTAAGCGCAGCTGTCGTAAACGCCTTGCAGGTCACAATGAACGTCGGAGAAAGCCTCAGATGGCTATCAACTCTGGCAGGGCTGGGAGGTTTCTTCAGTCATATAATGGTATCAAAACTGTACCATCCCTTCCAATCTCCCTTTTCATATACTTGCTGCATATGTGTGTCGGTGTGCGCTTTATGAAAGCATTAAAATTATTTTTTATTTGTGGTTTTGGCTTCCCCTCATGTTTTTGGCACCTATGATGTTATTGTTGTCCCATTGGTATTTCATATAGTATGCATCTTTTTAAATATTTCATTTTCTGTTCTGTATATACACCTAGATCTATGATGATGTATGCAGAAAGTTGGTTTAAATAGCCAATGTTTGCCAAATTTTGACAAAAAACTTTTTTTTTTTTGTTTTTTGGTCTTATCAAGAGAAGCAAAAGGCTTAGTTTAGTTTCTGAGTGCTGCACCTTTATTTAGAATATGATGCTTTTATTGATATGCAAAATGAAATTATCCATAAATTGAGATATTTCATTTTTGACATGCAAAAACTTCCAATTTACAGTTACTATAATTATAAATCAACTACATGGGGGTTGAACCACCATAAATACCTCCAAAAAATTCATCAAATTGAACTGTGTCTTTCTACTGTCAAATAATTTTTCCAAATAGAAGCCGCCGTGATGAAATCGAAAGAGCTCTGACAATCGAAAGATCCATGGCAGCAAAGATTTTTATTTGTAACAGCTGATTTTGATGGATATGAATGGTCAAACTTATAAAACATCTACAACTAAAGGTCCTGTTTGATAACTATTTTATTTTTGGTTTTCTATTTTTGAAAATTAAGGTTACAACTGCTACTTCCACCTATGTATTACTTTGTCTTATTATCAATTTTTTAAAAACGTTTTCAAAATCTAAGCCAATTTTTTGGAAGAAAAAAAAATAGTTTCCAAAAACTTATTTTTGTTTTTAAAATTTGGCTAAAAATTCAAATGTGATATGAAAAAATGTGAAAAAACATGCTCAAGAATTGTGAGAAAAAAAATATTATTGGGTCTAAGTTATTGACTTCCTAAATTTGAATTATCAAATGTTGGTGGAGGGACCATTCGTTTCTGCTCTCTCTGGCATACAAGTTACCTACTTTGTTTCAAGTTCACCAACTTACCTAAGACTATACTCCTTTCCAATTCATGATTCTTGATTTTGTATTTTGTTCTTGAAACATGAATAATTTCTATGCTTATTATTTTAGTATTAGTGTTCCAGTCATCAATTTTCTGTGGTCGTGTAATCGTTAAAGTAAATTTCAGGTAGCAGGCTTCAAGGAACGACATTAACTGCAACATCCTTTATCTGCCAAGAGATACTACCTAATGGTCTTTTGCATCCTGAGAAGTATGGAACAAATGATTGGTGTAGGAATGTGAAAATTGAAGACAAGAATGAATATATGCCTTTGTCTGCTGTTCATGTTCCTAGTGGCCACCTGCCTTCGAAATCCCTCTTCTCTCCTTACGATATCGAAACTCAAATTCCCCCTTTTCACGACAATGGACCGAACGCAGCTACTGGAAATATGTTCAAGGAGAACAGTAATCAGTATCCTGTTAGTGTAGGAGGTGTGAATTCCAGTGCCCGTTCTTTCTTTAACAATACCTCATTAGGCAGTGAATACTTCAGTGTTTATAGTGCAGCATCAACCGACCGAATATCAGGACTATCCGACTCCGGTTGTGCTCTCTCTCTTCTGTCATCTCAAACACAAAACTCCTCAACTCATTCATCTGGGATTCCAATCGCTCGTCCTCTGGTCTTGCTTGATGGCCAAAACCACTACAACATGAATCAACTTTCTGAAAAGCTGATGGGAGTAAGCTCCCAGGTTTCTGTGAGTGGAGTGTCAAATAAATTCAATTCATCAGGGTTGAATGCTTCAGAAGGTTTTACCCTTGGTCCCATACTAACACCTGAAACAAGTGATGCAGTAAATTTTGAAATTACAAATCGGATTTTCCATGGGTCAAATTTGGCAGATCCTAGTGAAGGCAGCCCGACCATTGACTTGTTGCAGCTTTCATCGCAACTTCAGCGTGTCGAGCACCAGAGGCAAGCTATGCAGGTGAAACAAGAAAGTAATGCTTTTTGCTGCCTCCGGATCACTTAAATTTTATGCCAAAACAGGTACCTATAAATGATTGCCACTTGAATATATCTTAAAAGGAAAATGAATCTGTTTTGTTTTCTTTAATTTCTAAACCAAATTCTTTGTTGATTTCTTCGCTTGCGTGTTGGATTCTCTTCATCGTGTCGATTCAATAAACATAAGATCAAGAGTTGAACCTGTGATCTCTTAGAATTAATCGATTCAATATGGCCCTTACTGATTTACATTTTTGTTAAATATGGAAGTTTTATTGTTCTTGTTAATGATTTATTGTATTCCTGAAACATGTACTTGAATTTGTGATGGCTATTGGAAAGCATGTGGTTTTAGCTGTTTAAATTTCCTTCTTAACCTGCTCAAGTACAGTGATTTAACTTAAGTTGTAATGAACAATCATATCCTTGTTGACGAAAATCAACGAGTAGCATGAACCAGCCAAAACTAACTCGATAATTGTTAAAATCAGGGATCAAAACTGCCAAAAAGAAAGAAACATAGGAGGGGAAGGAAATAGAGTGGCGGCTTTTTCAAGGGAACAGGGACTTATTTTGTTATAGAATAAGGAATACAAAATGGGTCCTCTTGGAATGAATCAAGTATAATTACAAAAAAATAAAAAGATAAAAAGAAAACTGTTTGAGATACTCATAAATGAATTAAATTTACCCAACCCATCAATTTAAACTTTTGGGTTGAGTGGTGGTTTATTCATCCTTAACAGAAAGTTTTTCCTAGAGGCTACCATCTTGAAACTTTGGGCACAAAGCAATCTAGAGTGAGTGATTAGAGAGAGAGAAATAGTGTGGCTTTTGAGAAAAAGAGGAGAGGGAAAGAAATATCATCTAGTTTTACTTCTTAGATGCAGGGAAAGACTTTTAAGAGAGAAATGAGAAGGAAAGAGAGAAGCTATCTTTATTCTTTAAGGTAAGATTAGGAGAGAGAAAGCCAAAGCGAGCACAACTCAGAGGTAATTGGCATATACCTCCAACCACAAGGTTGTGAGTTCGAATCCTCTCCCCACCATGTTGTATTTAAAAAAAAGATTAGTAGAGAGAAAAGGACTTGATTTTAAGGGGGGAAAGAGAGAAGGTAACCTGAGAAGTTGGATGGAATAACTTAATGTAAGGGAAAGCTATCTTACAGGAAATTATAGATTTTGTTTCTTGATCAGGATCTGTCCTACTGGAACTGGCAATGAACAAAACCGACCAGTTTTATCGTTAAGAAAATCGGAATCATTGAAGTTGGTCGGTTTTCTTTCATGATTGGCAATGAGGAAAGTACGAGTTTTTGGAACAGAATTAGGTACGGGACAATTCTCTTTAAGTCTTAAGATTTTGTCCCCTAGAAAATTTCATGGAGATGTATTAACCTCATGTTTGTTGTTCCTACCATCTGCTGGTTGGCATTGAACAAAAAGCATTCTTCTATCTGGTTTATGACCTGCACCAACAGGATTTGTGTTGCTGATCATGCTATAAAAGGTAGTAAAACTCTTGTCTCTTTCAAGATGGCTCTATCTATGGTGTATTAGGTGTTGGGTTTCTGGAGAGGTCGGTGAATGACGGTCCTGTGTAAGACATTGCATAAAACTGTTTTCTTCGAAGTCTCGACTCGTCGTGTTTGCTTAGGGAAGTGTAGCAACTGGTCATGTCCTTTTCCTTTCTTTTTCAACAAGTCAGCTTCGAGAGTTTAATCGTATGTCGAATTGGAGGTGCCAATATCAGTTAGATTATTGTCAAATCTAGAATGAGGAAAAAACGTGATACTATTTTTATACACTTTAACAAAGTGGACTATGTATAAGTAATGTCTTGTTGTACCTTTGATTATCTTGTTATGTCCTAACGCATGGCATTGATTCAGATCCTTAATCAGCTCTATCTCGTGCGGTTTCTTATGACTGTACTTGTATTGCAACAGGGACCGCAACGGATCGAAGCTCGTGGTGGCTGTGAAGAATGTGGTGGAATTTTGATGCACTGCTGATGGGGAGTACTGTTGGTAGAACTTCAAAATAAAGTAGCATGATTTATATTCCTTTCTCATATGAACTAACTTTGTTTCATAAACATTGATATTTGATATGTTGGTGCAATTCTTGGACCATTCTTGAAGTATTCTATTATTGACTTGTTAACTTGTCTACACATTCTTCTCCTACATCCATTGTTTTTAGGATGTATTTTACTTGTAGCTTTGAGATATGGGATTCCCTCTTCTTGTGTGCTTTTTGGTACTTTCTGACGATTATTTTTGCTAAATATCTTGTTTTCTTCATCAAATAAGTTGGAGTGGAATTGGAGCGATACAACTTGATGCTCGTGGCAGCTCTTTAGTGACGGGGATGTGAATATAGTCTCACATTTGTTAAAATGTAGAAAGATTATAGATAAACAAGAACAACATCTCTATCAGTACGAGGTGTTTTTGGTAGAATCCAAGCATAAGATCTTGCATGTTTAGATTGAAAGGAGACAGTAAGATCTTGCGTGCTTAGATTGAAAGTAGATAGTAAGATCTTGCGTGCTTATATTGAAAGTAGACAATATCACATCTCTGGAAGGACATTGAGATGAATCTCATTTGTCAAGATTGTTTTCGTTGGGTTTGGTAAGGTGGCTTTTTCAATTGGAAGGTGACAAATGTATTAAAGTGTCCCTCTTGTGAATATTTTAGTAAAAAATCTCTAATAAAGCGGCCATCAAAGGAGGAAAATAATGACTTTTTTTTCCTTGAGTACAGCACGTAGGAGATCGAACTCACAATATCTAAAAATTGAATCTCATTTTAAAAAATATAGGTAGCCATTAAATATTTTATTTTATTTAAAATAATATTAATTAATTAAATATTTAATTTTATCTTAAATAATATTAATTAATTAAATATTTAATTTTATCTTAAATAATATTAATTAATTTATTAACATAAATTTTGTAAATTATTATTTTACAATATTATATAATTTATAATATATTATATTTAACATCATTATAATTTATAATATGTTATTAAAATGAGTTTATAACATAGCATATTTATTAAAGTTTTTATCCTTTTTTTACTATAATTATGCAAATTAAAATCAGTTTATAACACAGTAGATTTATTAAAGTTTTAATCCTTTCTTAATATAATTATGCATTTGAAACTAACCGACATTAGTTTTCAGAATTTCCACTATTTGGTTAACAAAAAGGCCAAAAACAATTTTCAGATAACAAAGGCCAAAAATAATTTTCAAAAATAAATATGCCAACAGATATTCCCAAAGACAAAAAAAATAGAATTTAGATGGCCTTCCAAACCCACCTCTTTTCTTATGAAATATTATGCTATCAACTTTTAAAACGATAATAAATGTCTTATCCCCTTAACTACTTTTAACTTTCTAATTTCAAATTTCAAGAAATCATTTCAAATTTAAAGATTCCTCAATGAATAAGAGTTAAAGATGGAGGTGTTTTATTGGTAAATCATCCAAATATATATATATATATATACTATGTAATATTAAAATCATGTTCAAACAAGAATAATTAATGCTTAATTAAAACAAATGATACAGATTTCATATCTTCCAAGAAAACCATACCAAGGAATGTGAGACAACTTCAGAGCAAAGGCCTGCTCAAAAAGAATGATACATCTTTCAACAGAAATCAAAACCAATGAAATCAACTATTTTGACACAACTGTGGAAAACTCAGTTGCTTCCTCTCCAGGAGGATTCAGCTCATCCCAAGCTTCAATCCATGTGACCATGGAATCGGCAAGCTTAACGAAATACTCGTCAACTGAACCGAGTTTTTCCCTTACCTTCTTAGAGAGTTCAATGTAGCACTTCTGCACAGAGGTGCAGTCCTTTGGTAGAGTAACAGTTTGGAAAAATGGTACCATCTGTTCTTGCCAATAGATTCCTTTGTACTCTTTCCTAAGGTTTGTAAATGGGTTGCTTGCCTTGCTGTGCCAGATATATGGCAACCCTGTCTTCACTCCAAATCCTAAATGGTCACAGATGACCTACAAAAACGTCGATTGATCGGTCACGATGCGAAAGATCGTTGGAAACTATGAATGCAGAAGCGGAATGAATGCAGAAAGATGCACATATGAATGGTTGTATTGAACATTATGCTATTGAGGACCCGGTTAAATGGGATATACCTTCATACACCAGCCAGCCCACATATCGTCATAGCGGCCGATAGGCTGGCCATCGCCCATGAGTCCAAAGTACATGGCGGGACCGATTAGTTCGCGGTTGAACGCCAGATTCATTCCACACATGGGAAAGAGGGTAGTTTTCGGTACAGTCAAAATAGCATCAACGTATCTGTAATATGAATGAATTGTCAAAAACATTAGAATTCTATAAGACTACATTGTGAAATCCAGGAGCAACAGTATCTCTACAATGTTTGGCAAGTATTTCTCGAGTACCTCGTGTTTCTCTCAAGCGGTTTAACAAGTTGGGTGGGTGCATCATAATCTGGACTGTTTAACCAGAGGCCATGAGACACTGCGGTGGGGACGCCCCCACGGAGACTGAACGGATATCCACGGACAAAGTCAGCACCTTCTCTGTATGGATCATATAGGGTGTTGAAGAAAAATGGGGTAGATGGCGTCAAGATGTTCCTAATGTGTTGTTCAAGTGCATTGATCTCTTTTCCAGATGGGTCTTTAGCAACCTACATTACAAAATCAACATGTGCACTTCACATCCAAGCTTTGGACCAACGTCGATCTCGACGAGATTGGACTAAAGAAGACGCAAGAGTATCCCAATACAGAGCAAAGAAATACATGGATGTGGGAAGTAACAATTCTAAAGTTGAACCACTACAGTCTACAACTAAGTTGAGTGTATACTTAGTGTTTGTAAATGAAACATGCTCTCTCACACACAATGTTTCTGAAAACACTTCAATCTGCAGTTGGACATCACAAAAAGATTCTCAAAGAAAGTACATTTTATTTGTTAGAAGTGTTTTATAACATTGAAAACATCATCTGAGCCAGGATAAAAGTGATAAAAGTGAGAGTATGATCTAAAGGTGATTGAACTCGAACTAGATGATAAGAGAAGCATGAAATTAATGACTCTATTCTTGAAGTTCCATCTTCAAACATTGACATGGTTACGCATTTTTCTCCGCAGTTCTTTCCAATAGAAACACATCCACAAACTAAAATTAATGAGGGGAATATCTATAACCATAACCTCTCAATTCAAAGAATGATTAAAATTCAGAGATCCAAACCCTACATGCATCGCGAGACAAGTTCGAAAGCCCAAAAAAGAAGATAGAGCGAAGTGAACTTACGAAGCAGTCGTCATCAATGGTGAAGATATACTTCTTGTTGGAGATCAAGAAGCCAAAGCACCTACAAGCAGAGTCCTTAAAGGAAATGCAAGAAGCCTTAGGACCAAGAATCCTATTGATGTCGTCGCGGTTATAGAGGTCGTAATCAAAGCCATGAGGAACCCTGATGGTCTTCGAGGGGTCGCCGTCTTGGACGATGATCAAGTGGTAGGGCTGGAAAAATGGACGCCACATTTCGAGGAAGTCGAGATTCCGGATGGTGGGGATGACGATGTCGAGCTCATCTTTGAGAAGCGGGGCCGGAATTGGACTGGGCTTGGTCTCCACCATTGTTGACTGTAGAAGAACCAAACGAGAACCAGAGAGCAGAGAGAATTTTGATTTTCCAGAGAGAAGCGGGTGAAGAATTTGAAGAGAAAAGAGGGATTATACCATGCGACAGGTGGCACGTGCGTGAACTTTGAGGCCTAATCATTTCATAATAGACCGTTGGTTAAAATACTCGCTTAGTTCCTCTCAATTTTGATCCATTCGATTCTTATATTTTTTAAATGTTCGATTTGTTATTTACTTATTTATACTTATAATTTTATTCATTTGAATATAGAGTAAGCCTAATTTAATAATAATTTATATATATTTCAAATTAAAATGTTGTAAATTCGATCTCCCACTTTCATATGTTGTACTAAAAAAAACTTGGTTCATTTTAGTCTCTTAATCTCATTTTTTATCACAATTTCAACACGATATTGAAATCACTATATTTTTTAAAATGTAAACATTACTTTATACTAAAAAAAACTTCCATTATAAGTAAAACTTTGCAAACAGAGACTAAAATGATCACTTTTTAAATGTGGTGTAAAAAAAAATGATTAAAGAACTCGCAATCTCTTAGTTTGATATATATGTCCAATTACCACTGAATTATGCTGACAATTAATTTCAATTTTACGTACTTAAGGTATACATTTAACATAAAATTAATAAATCGGAAAAAGGAAAAAAAAGTAGAGAAATATATATTAGAAAAGTTAGTTTACGTGGCAGCGGCAGTGGCATTGAAGCTCCCGACAATTTTTGAAGGGCGGGTACGAGTCTCGACGGCCTGCAGATTTGAAGATGTGGTGGGCGACGGCGATCACAAACAGCTGCGACAAAATTAAACATTAAAAGTTTGAGGAATCAAGAAAATGTCCAACAACAACCACCAATTAAAGAATACTGAATGCATCATTATTATTATTATTTTCAAGTTTATGTATGGCTAGGACTATGTATTTCAGTTAAAAAAATCTTATAATTTTGAATTTAATTGTTGACTCATTTTTTAAAAGAAAAATGAGTTAATTTAGCAACGACTATAAACAATAAAGAAAAAGTTTATAGAGATAACACTATTCCAACCTTAAAAATTATTTATCTATCTTTTGTTTATCAAACCTAAAAATTTTAAAAAAATAATAATAATAATAACTTTAGTTTATTCCTATTTTCATTTATGAACTTACACGTGAAATTTCAAAAGATTTATGGAATATGAAGAAAACACATACTAGTCGACACCAAATAAGTACTAATTTCAAATTCCCAAAAAATAATTGCTAAATTAGTAGAGTGGTGGGCTCTCGACTTCTCTCCCGAGACTTCCTAGAGCTTTGGCGACCATAGTGTTGGAAAGAGGTACGTCGTTCTGTCGATGGGCATGGAAACATAATGTGTAGGATCGAAGCACCAAATTCAAATGAACGAGCTAAATTGGAATAGTAAAAGGAATATGTGGTGAGTTAAATTTAAGCTGACATTTCCGACGATGGGTCCTACAAGACACGATTAATTTTGATTGTTGTTTAAGTGTGACGAGTGTTAAGAAATAGTTGTCGTCTTATGTTTTTATGGAACAATGAATTGGATGTTTAGGTGTTGTCCTACTCCTTGGGACACATTGATGTGATGATCAAAGAAAATGAAATGGTTTGAATTAGCGAATTTATGGTAAGTAACAAGATGCAGTAAAACATGGACCCTATTGAAAAGACCAAAATACACAACTTGTCATGCTTAATAGACTAGCTAGTCAAATAAATTACTTTAAAGAGGCAATTGATCGGTGGGGTGAGGATTCAAATTCACCGTCAGTTGATAGAAAATAAGTATCTTAACTAGTTGGACTATGACTTAATTTTAATAAAAAATGAATATTATATTTTTAAATTTTTGCTCCAATTAACAACCTAACAAACTTTCACAAGTCATCTAATTGCAATTGTTATTAAAAGTTGGAAACAGTAAAGAAGAAAAAAATCGTTTTGAAAATAGTTTGTTAAATCCACCCAAAATTCTGTGTGAAAATATTTTACCAAGTCATTATATTTTTTGTTAAAACTAATCCCAGTCGAGGGTTCAAAAAATTAATATAAACAAATGAAGGAAAGATGAAGCAAAAGCATTATAGTTGTTGCCATCTCTCACTCTCATTAGGTCTAATTGGTTTCAATAATATAATATGATATTACTTTGCGATATATATGTGTGTATTAATTAATTGTTTAAAATCATTTAAAAAACAAAACAAGTTGTTGGATCTTTGTCAAGATCAAGATAGGCTATCAAGATAGCATAGCTACTTGTAACCAGAAATTTCTCAGGATAGGCTATATTAATAATTCAAGTGGTTTGTGCCAAAACGAACCGTTCAACGACAATTGACATATATCTTTAATCAGAATTCGATATCCTACCCCGTACCAAAAAAATAGAAAAAATAATTTAAGTGATTTACACAAATAAAATTAAATAAAACTAAAAAACATTTTAAGGAATTGGAAACATATATTTGAAACAAATGCGTAATGGAAAACAATGCAATTTTTCAAGAATTATTTCTATAATTAATTTTTTATAGAAGCTCTAAGATCCATACCTCGAACAAACTGATTTTGAATTATTTATAATATATTCAGAATTAGTTATTTTTTCAATAGTTAAAACAAGTTTTTATTTATTTGAAAAAATTACTTTTCAAATTTTTATTCTTAAAATTTTGAAAAAAAAATACAATATTTAATTTCTTTTAATTGAAAAATACTATTTTCAAAAGTACCCTAAAATCGTGACTCCTTGCCTAATGATGATACAAAGTCGTTCATTCCATACCAAGTAAATCAATGATCCAATAAAATATCAAAAAAATATGGATGAAACACTTTTTGTATGTCTCCAAAGTTTCAAAATGAACTTGAGTACCTGTCATTTAAAATAACATTCCAACGGTCTGAAGTATCCGTTTCAAAACTTCATAACCAAATAGACACAAAACAAAAATATTTTTTACCCAGACATTTTTTTTTCTTCTTTTGGCTCAGTTGAACTCTTTCTCAAAAATGGCCATTCATTTCAAGAAAATTTTCAATAAAATTTCAAAACCAGAACAGTATATTGTCTAAACTAAAACTTACCGAGTCAGTGCAGTTGAATTGGAAGAAAACTTGATTTTGAAGCAGTTGAAAGCAGCTCCTGTGTTCTGCACATTTGCCTGCCTCTGGTGTGAGAACACTGACAGTTGAAAAGTCTCCTCATTCCTCACTAAAGCTTTGCTTCAAGATGCAGAAACACTGAAAGGGATAAATGAAGGGCTTTAGAGGTTGTGTGATTGTGTGCAAGAGAAGTAGCTGAAAAATATCACATGAATTTTCCAACAACCAGTAGGTGAGAGAGGTGAGACATCTTCTTGTTCTTGCATTCTCTTAAACTATATTGGTCTCTCCATTTCTCAATTTCTCCAACTTCCAATATGGCACCAGTGAAGAACAGCTGCATCTTCTGAGTTCACCTGGTTGAAGCTTTTGGTCCCTGCAAAATTTCAAGCCATGGAAGTTAATACCTACACTGATTCATTGCACAAGATTCTCTTTCAAAGGGAATGCTACTCGACTCGACAGCAACGAATTGTACTCTTAGCACTTCTAATCTTTACAGCTTTCTGTTCAACTGGTACGTGCTGCTTCTTGAATGCCAAAAGAAGAAAGATCTTTCAATTTCTTGGTCTCGTTATTGGTTGTTGTAGCTGATGAATCTGTTGTTCCTTCTGTTCGTCTTCTTCAGGGGCTTACGACCCGCTGGATCCAGATGGAAACATAACAATCAAATGGGATGTAGTCTCTTGGACGGCAGACGGATATGTTGTAAGATATTAAAACATGATTCATTTCATCCCTCCCCTGTAACCACAACTTAATTAGTATCTTTACGTAGCTTTCCAGGTCTATGAACAATTAATGATGGAAAAGATATAAAACCATTGATCCAATCCTAGCTCTTCATTGAGTTTGAAGGGTGAGGATTGGATCGCTGGCGTAAAGCTACTGTTAAATATCCGATCACCATACTGACCTTGGATCTATTTTAACTGCAACAGGCTGTGGTGACAATGAACAATTTTCAGATGTACCGGCATATCAATGCACCAGGATGGACTCTAGCCTGGTCATGGGCCAAGAAAGAAGTAATATGGTCTATGGTGGGAGCTCAGACAACAGAGCAAGGAGATTGTTCCAAGTTCAAAGGAAATGTCCCTCACTGTTGCAAGAAAACCCCAGTAGTTGTTGATTTGCTCCCTGGTGTTCCTTACAACCAGCAATTCTCCAACTGCTGCAAGGGTGGAGTATTGGCATCTTGGGGACAGGATCCTGTAGGTTCAGTCGCGGCCTTTCAGGTGAGTGTTGGGCTAGCCGGTACTTCGAACAAAACTGTAAAATTGCCAAAGAATTTTACTCTGCTCGGTCCGGGACCAGGCTACACTTGTGGACCTGCAAAGATTGTGCCTTCGACAGTCTTCCTCACTCCCGATCGTCGGCGGAAAACTCAAGCATTGAGTAAGTCTTGTTTTATTGAAAGTGTGGCGTTCCTCATCAATTATGTTCATGCTTGAGTTGTTCTGGATAAAGCTTGGAATTGAGCTATGCTCCTTCTGATGCAGTGACCTGGAATGTGACCTGCACTTATTCACAATTTCTGGCCTCTAAGAACCCAACTTGCTGCGTATCACTCTCAACTTTCTATAACGATACGATCACTTCTTGCCCAACCTGTTCGTGCGGCTGCCAGAACAAACATAATTGTATAAAGTAAGACTTCTTTCTCTACTCCAGATGGTTACAAATTTTCAGGAATCTCTCCAAAAAAGTAAGAGGCAAAAGATAACCGAAAAAATCACATTCCCTTAGCCAGAACCATTTAAATACTTGAAACAGCTCCACCACGTTGAAATCTGCAGTATGGAAATTAATATACTTGGAACATCAGATCGTTAGAATAGGAAACTTTAGAGTCCGTTTGGTAACGTTTCCGTTTCTCATTTTTTGTTTCCTCTTTTTTAATAAAGAAAAATAGAATTGCATGCCCCCAACACCCATAAATTCAAGAATGATAAAACTATATTTTTATTTATGTTTTGGAACAAATGGAAAATAAGAACAAGAAACAAGAAACTTGTTTTTGTTGTTTTCAAAATTTCTATACAGTTTTGAGAATGTTTCTAAAAAATGAGAAACAAAAAAGATAAATAGTTGTAAAATTTTAAGGTTTTTTAATAAAATTGGAAACGAGAAGTAAGAAACAGGAACCAAACAGGTCCTTATTGTTCTCTGTTCCGAATGATTATTAACCTTTGTGTCAGATGTCTATAATATGACTTCTCAAATAATCTACTAGCTTCAACTTGAGCTTATTTGCTGGAGACTGTAACCTTATTTTCTTCTGAATCCCACTATACAGGAGTGACTCAAAGCTACTGCACAAGGATGGGATAAACACTCCTAAAAAGGATAATACACCCTTACTACAATGCACCCATCACATGTGTCCTATTCGAGTACACTGGCACGTAAAGCTTAATTACAAGGATTACTGGCGTGTGAAGATTGCCGTAACAAACTTTAACTATAGGATGAACTATACGCTGTGGACACTGGCAGTGCAGCATCCAAATCTTAACAATGTAACTCAAGTCTTCAGTTTTGACTACAAACCCCTAGTTCCCTATGAATCCATCAGTGAGTATTAAGATCCTTATGTTTTCAATACAAATATACGGGCTAATTCAGTAATTATTGACATGGATGCACTACTAAATTCAATGTGCAGATGATACTGGCATGTTCTATGGCATGAAATTCTACAATGATCTATTAATGGAAGCAGGAGCATTTGGAAACGTGCAATCTGAAGTACTCATGAAGAAGGACAAGGATACTTTTACCTTCAAGCAGGGCTGGGCATTTCCTAGAAAAGTATACTTCAATGGCGACGAATGCCAGATGCCGCCACCAGAATCATACCCATTTCTACCCAACTCTGCTCCTGCAGACTCCAGTGCAGTTGCCAAATTGATCACCTCCTTGCTTTTGATACTCTGGCTCTTTTGGTGATCAGTGATCATTCTTCATGAACCTCAGAGATCTACGCATGTTGATAATTCAAGGGAGAAACTGCAGCACTACAATGAACACAGGTATGCATACGAGATATTATTGGTCACAGAATAGACATGATTTTGTCGTCCAAATCTTCTTTTTTTTTCTCTTTTTTTTTTTGGGTTTTTGTAGTGCATAGTCTCGTTATATAAATGAAATGGTTCCATCACGTATCAGCCTATAGTAACCAAGAAATGATGCAGAAAACAGGCACTCTATGGAAAATTTGAACTGTCTCATAAGTTATTACACTGAGAACGATAAATATTTTTTAATCATTATACAAATAAAATGATTGAACGTATATAATAACTATTTGTACAACACAATTCGCTCCAAAGCTAAACAAGAATGAAAGTTGAGTCAAATAACCCATCCACCAATGGAAACTTGCTCGTATTGTCTTTGATTTAAGCACCAGTAAATTTGACACCATTGACCCAATGCCACAAGCTCGCTGGAAATCTAGAATGTTACAGCAACCAATAGTGTTTGTCGTTTTCCGTGGGCATAACTTATAGTGCAAAATTCAACAGTAGTACCAAAGATAGTAAGATGGTCACAATCGGATGAATTAGCAGAGATATAGCTGGTCTGGAACTGGCATTTGGCAAATAAGGATAGGCATCTGGAGGTGGCATCACACAGTTATCACCATTGAAATAGACTCTCCTTGGGAAAGCCCAACCCTTGTCGAAAGTGAAAGTGTTCTGGTCTTTCTGGAATAGGAGCTCTGACTGCACATTACCAAGAGGGCCAGCTTGATTGAGAAAATCATTGTAGAACTTAACTCCCCATAACATTGCAGTATCATCTGCAAAACAATACCATAATTACCAACCACAAAGTTGAGGAAATAAATTGCATGAAGCCGATTCTTTTAGATTAAATGGGCTGATCAGTCAACATTATATGCAAATATACATTTTCAGAGAGAACTTACTCAGGTCACCATATGGGCTCAACGACTTATAGTTAAAGCTGAATAATTTAGTTATATTGTCAAAATTGGGATGCTGCACCACGAGATTCCAGAGTGAATAGTTCATTCTATAATTGAAATTGGTGATTGTAATCTTCACCCTCCAATAGTCCTTGTAATTTAGCTTCACATGCCAATGGACTCGAATGGGGCACATGTGACTGGTACACTGAACCAAGGGTGCATTACCGGATTTATCAGGAGTGGATACTACTGAAGCTAAATATGGAGAATCTGGACTGCAAAAGATAATTCAAGCAGAAAAGATTATTGAATTGAGTGAAACAATTTCAATCTTTCACCCTAACCACAAACACAATGTTGAAGGAAAAAGAATTAACTCAGGTGCCCAATGTAGAACAAAAAGATAACTTACTCCACACAGCTACCAGGACTGGAGGAGTTGTTTTGACATCCACAAGTGCAGGTGGGGCAGTTGACTATGGTATCATTGTAGAAGGAAGAGAGGGAAACACAACAGGTGGGTGTCTTCTGAGCAAGGAATTGAGAATACGTGCATGTAATATTCCAAGTCACTGAAATAGGACAAGCAAAGACAGATTCAATCAAATGTTGTTAACTGCTATTATAAAAAAAAACGTAAATCAAAAAATCAAAATCAATTACTGATAACAGCTTTCAGCTGCCAGTCCATGTCAACTCAATTTCTGGTCACATCCCCTAAGGATGAAATATAAAGTGACCATAATTTGATCCCTTGTATATATGCTTACATGTAAATCACATGGTTACAACTGACATTTAATCAGATATCAAGTCAAATTTAAAAAATGAAAATTATACGACCTATCGACAACCAACAAATTCAATATTCAACTCCAACTCAATCTATAAAGTCTCAGACAGAAATACCTAAGTTGTATTGTTAGTAAAAACATATGTGCAAGCAGGCAACATTAGAATTCTACATTGAACCTAACATCTAATATGCAAGTCTTTGGCAAGTTTACTTACTCAAAGCTTGAGTTATTCTTCTTTTATCTCCAGATATAAACTTGGTTGGCCTCACAATCTTTGCTGGCCCACAAGTGTAACCAGGTCCTGGTGCTTTAAGGGTGAAGTTTTTGGGGAGTCTGACAGTTTTGTTACTTGTTCCTGCGGAACCGACACTGACTTGGAACGAACTTGCAGCATTGGCGGGGTCTTGGGCCCATGAGTTCATCACTCCACCTTTGCAACAATTTGCAATCTGCTGATTGTAAGGAGTTCCTGGCAATAAATCCACAACGGTTGGATCCTTCCTGCAGCAATGTGGAACATTTCCTTTGAATTTTGAACAGTCTCCCTGATCTGTTGTTTGGCCTCCCATCATGCTCCAAATTACTTCCTTCTTTGCCCATGTCCACCCCAATGTCCAGCCTGGAGCTTGAATATGACGGTACTGCTGGAAGTTGTACATTGTAACAACGGCCTGCGACCAAATAGATCATCCTTTTGATCAGAGAATCAATAACAATAAGAATAATTACTATGGAAAATAAAAACTATCACGTTCATATTTATTGGCAAGTTTCAGACATGAGCAGTTTCGGTTTTATAGCATATACTCATAGACACTACCGCTAGTACTACGTTAGATTAAGACTAGACCCACAAATGATTGAGGTACTGATAATCTTCTTAATAAATTTTATACCAACACAAGATTAATAGTCTAGTATTCCCCAGTTATTAACCATTATACTTGCAAAAAGCTTTGTCAAAGGAAACCAAAGAAGTGCAGTTCTTATATGAAACGTACCACATAGCCATCCGGGGTCCAGCTCATTACATCCCATTTGATTGTAATGTTCCCGTTGGGATCAAGTGCATCATACGCCTCTGCAAAGAGATCCAGAGAAAAATATGAGAATCGGAGTTTCTCAGATATTTTTTATAACTAATTTTACTTCTTCAAGTCACGGTTGCATCTCATTCCTCTTCTAATTTCAACTAAAATCAGCATATAATAACTATCGATATGCACCGAAGATTCAAACGTAGAGAACTCGTTGACTTCTCAATAAAGTAGAAGCATCGCCAAGGAAACATAACCAAGCATTCCTTCCTAGATTCCATTATTTTCTTATATTCGTTAATTAGTTATCAATGTCATAAAGAAACACTCGCCTCAACCTTTCAACTCGATCGATCAATAGAAAAAGCATAAAATCAAGTTACCGGCAATCGTTAAACAGTTGAAGTAAACACGATTTCCAATCATTTCCAACAATCAGACAACTAACAATGACGGATTAACGAACGAATAACAACAAAACCACGTTGAGTAACCAAATCTGAAACTGAAGCTGCAAGTCTGAGTTCACTAACCTGTAAAAGTGAAACTGAAGCTCGAAAGTAGAAACAGAAGCAAGACGCCGAAGCCGGTGAGGTCGGCGACGGATCCAGTAGAATCCAAGCGGCGAGACCTCATTTTCCCGACGGCGGACTGAGCTGCAGACGGCGTTCTGCTAATGCCTCAAGCAAGATCTGCACAGAGAAACTTGCCGTGGCCTGTGGGGAGACAGAGAGAATAAGCAGTATTTCACAAGACTGTAAGCTAGCTTTATACAGGTGATTTTAATGGCGGACTCACAGCGAAAAAGAACAGTTACCGCCGTTGATAACGAAATTCCAAATCTACCCCTCGATCTCCTTTCTTTTCAAAATAATGTAATTTAAATTTACGATGTAACCTTGAAATTACTAAAATTAAAATAAAGTGGGTTTCCTTGTTCGGAAGATTGGGGTCTGATATAATGCGAAGAATTAAAAAGAAAAAAGCTGAAAGTTCGGGGTAGGGTGGTAAATAGGTGGGATGAATAGGGGCAATTGTGAAAGGAGGTGAAAAAAGTTTAGTCAATGTGTGAAGGGGGAGACAGCTGGCGGAGGACGTGGGCCACAGGGAAGTTGGTCGACTTATTATTTTATTGTATTTAGTGTCGGTGGATGGAGATTGAAATTGAAATTCTGTGCCTTGATTTGATTTATGCGTTTCTTTTGCATTATTTTACAACTATTTATAATGTCAATTTGATCCATTTTAATATGTAATTTAATTTAATTATCTTTAAATTTTAGCGGTTGGAAATTTATCAGCTTTTTTATTTGGCTTGGATTTCATACCTACTTTTTTTCTTAATTAATTATTTAATCAAATGTGATAATATAGTTTGCACCGGATTTAAATAATATTTTAATAGCCAGTAAGTTATGTTTTAAGTATGATTAAAGTTATTAGTAACAAAATCAGTAGGTGCACTCGATTAACGAATGGAGAATTCCCTGATTTTGTGGATGGTAAAAAATATCTTATCCATTTATATCATAACTTTCTATACAACAAAAAGGTTAAAAAAAAATATTTGTATCATAACTAAGTTATTACTAATATGGTTAACAAACCGGTAAAATCATCGTAAATATAGTAAAAAAATCAAATTATATAACTCAAGTATTTATAGTTAATCAATCTATAACTTAATTAGTCATTCTTATGATTACAGTTAATCCTCATTTTAGATTAATCAATAATTATCACATAAAATAAAATTATGTTGATCATCATTATTTAAATTTATTAGTGATTTATAGGCCTCTAAATATTTTGTATTTTGTAACTTTTTGAAAATGAGATATTTATAATTAATTTTATGAAGGTGCATATTTATAAAGATTTAGGAGATATTTTGTTTTTATTTTATGTTTTTTTTTAAATTAAGCTTATAAACACCAATTATATCTATGTATTTGTTTGTTTTGTATCTATATTTTAAAAATATTCTTATGATCTAATCCAATATTTACAAACTAAAAATGTAGTTTTTAAAAATTTATTTGTACTTTTGACATTTGACTACAAATTTTTTATATTTTAAAAAAAATGTTGGAAGATATACCAAACATGTATGAGAAAGTAATCAAAATTTAAAAAGATAGAAAACTAAAAGCAAAATCAAAACATGACTTTTAGGAAATGAAATATGCCCATTTAAATTTCCTATGTTAATATGGTTAAAGTCTATTCACATAATGTAAAATTGAAAAAAACATTTTCCGCTTCATATATATATATATATATATATATAATTGTGAAATGTGAGTATTCCAACATCCAACTCATATATAATAAGATTAAAGACAAAAATATTATCATAATAAAAAGATAGTACAGAAGCTCAAATATATCAATTAAGAATGTGTTAGACCAAAGTTTGTTCATAAATATATCGCACTCTTGTGTCCTAACATCTATTATATTACATTAAATGACAATTTTTTTATTTAGTGACGAATTAAAGTTAATCGATGTTTGGCAACATGTATTGCGTGGTTTTTTAATCAGTGCAAACTTTTTTATTTGCCGACACTCCTGCGGGGCTGTGTCTGAGAAATACGACTTAAAAAAAATTAAGAAAAAATGAAAATTGTTAATGGCCCATTTATTTATTTATTTATTAAAATTTCTGGTGAGGGTTATACTTATATCTGTGTATGTATTTATGTTGACTTTGATAGATTAACCTAAAGGACTCATGTATATGATTTTCTTTTTCTTTTTTCTTTTCTTAACTCCGAATTGAACTATGCTTAAATTGGCATAACTTTTATATGTCCACGAAACTGACAAAACAAAGCACTTTCAAAGTCGGCACCGTCTGATCCAACAGCTTCATTCATGGAGAAATGTTCTTAATAAAACGGACTCATATGAAAAGTAATTACCTTTCTTGAGGTTGAAAGATCAAATCCTTACCCGCAACTGTGCAACTAAAAAAACACTGATGTGCACAGAATTCGAACACAACATGATACGAAAAGAATTCGATAAACGCACCTGATCTGAATGGCATGGCTTTCTCTTCAGATAGTATTCCACATTTGATTAGCTTTTCGACAGTTAGCCTGTAAGACATCAAACAACAATAATCGGCAGGATGGTGGACACAAGGCAAAACTTGTTCTACAAGAACGAAATTAGTGCATCATCACAAGGAGAATTATAAAAGCAGACTTAAATATGTTTCAACTAACATGTTCTCAGTCTCAGTTAACCAAATATTAACAGGCAGTATCTTCATTTTACATTCTGTAGACAGATATTATTGATATTATTGCCAGAACAAGAGAATTAAAAACAATGCAGTATTCGTACGTTACAATTTCCTAAACAACATGGAATTTCAATCCACCGAAATTTAAGTGTTCCTTTGCCCAATATAAGGAATGATTAGGATATGTCAGAGCTGCGCGTATATGTTTCAGCTCAAGCCATAATACCAAAAGAAAAAAAAAAGAAAAATCTCTTATTTCTCTGCCGCTAATAATATTATGAAAGGAAGGAGGGGAAAATGCAAAAGAAAACAGAGAACATTAGGAAAAAGAATTCATCAAAGTTTGAAGAGCAAACTTCAACTCATAGCTACCATAGCCGTCAGTATACATTCTGGCACAGTTTCATTATCATTATCAAAATGCTCGACGCATTGCTTTTTTCGGTTTCTTGACGAAACTCAGTCGAATTTGCTTCAGTCGTCTCCTCTTCCTCGCCATTTTTTCAGGCAGTGTCTCCCTCTTCTTCTCAGCCTTCTTTACCTTTGGCTTCTTTACATATCTTGGGTCCACCTGGTATGCTTTTGGAGCAACAGGCACTCCTGTTCTCTGGGCTTCATTAAAGAGTGAATTCGCTTTATCGAGACGATTGTGGGCACAAAATTTTCCCATCAATAGATCATACGTCTTGATCCCAGGTTCACACCCATCCTTCTTCATCTTTGCAAAAACAATCAGAGCATGATCAATTCTCTCGATCCCACACAAAATTTTCAGAAACTCATAATAAGCCTTCTTATCAAGTGCATCGCCATATCCTGCAGACCTCATCCTGTCAATCATTTCATCCCCCTCTGCAGTCCTTGCCGCTTGATACAAACTTCTAATCAAAATAAGGAACGTTTCAGCATTGGGTAGACATCCCCACTCCCCCATTCGACGAAATAAATTTACTGCATCAGAAGTTTTCCTAATCTTGCACAGATTGTTTATCAACACATTGAAAGTTTCCACATTTCGTGGAACCCCACGATAGTCCATTTCCACCAGAATTTCTTCAGCTTCAGATTGAAGCCTAAACGGATCCTTTTTCCTGCAAATCTTGCAAACACAGTCAAGCAGAGCATTATAGGCCATTGTCCCTAACTCAAACCCTCCCCTATACATCTCACCGGCCAATCTTTTTGCTTCATCAAGCTTCCCATCGACGCACCATCCTTTGATAAGAACATCGCACATTGCTTCATCAGGGAAAAATTCATTAGCCAAATCTTTGACCATCTTCTCCGCATGGCTCGCGCAGCCATTTTCACAGAGCTTCTCCACCACCATCCTTAGCGACTCTTTATCCCTCTTAAACCCATAATCCTTCTCCATTTTCTCAAAAAATGAGACCGCCTTCGTGGGTCGCCCGGCACGAACAAGCCGATCAATAGACGACCGCAGGGTTTTAGCCCCACTGACTCCATAACCTTTCACAAGAACCTCATGAATTGCATTGAAATCCTTTCTACGACCAAAATAATCAACAAAATACGAAATGGTATCGTCCGTGTGATGAAAATCGGGATTCGATACTAACCACTCGTTAAACCCTAAAACCGTTCGGCCAGCTTCTGAGGAGAGATTAAGCGTATTGAGAACTAACTCGGGATTCGGCTTAACATGCGAAAAGCTAAGTTCAAGGCGCTTCGTGATGGGAAGAGGATCCGAATCGGCGTCTTTAAGAAGCTCTGATGCAAGTGACTGCGATGTTTGATCCGAATGACCGGATTCAGACGAGAACGAATGAGAAATTGAAAGTTGCGACAGAGAATTAAACCTCAATGCCGCCCCATTGTGACCAAAATGGTGGAAGGGAGACGTCAAATTCCGATGTAAAAGAACACTGCGCGTCCGCTCATTGAAAGAACTGGAAGACGAACAAGCTGATAATGAAGAAGATGATGAAAGAGATCGAATAAAGTGCCTTCGAAGATACAGATACAGTAATGGCGTCATTGTTGTGGACGATGAGCTCTGAACAAAAACAGGAAACTCCCTTGGAAGAAACTCGCCGGTGGGAGCTACCAAAACCTAACCAGGAATCGAGGATCACGGAAGGGTCAATTGGGTCGGGCCGATGTTTCTGGGCTTTTATAAACGGGCTATCAGAATGGGCCCATAAGAAATTCGGCCCAAATTTCCCCTTGTTAATCAGACATGATGATGAAGCTGATTTGAGATATTTGGACGGTCGAATTTACCTTTTTGTCCTTAAAATGAGATGTTTTTTTTTAGACCTTAAAATGAGATGTATTATGGTTGATGTTGATGGAAAGTTTAATTTTAATTGAAAATAACTTTCAAATCTTCCTTGAGATATGTGCTTGATTTTAAATTGTTGATTTACGTTTTTTTTTATCTGAGTGATATTTTATTGAGGCTGATTCTTTCTTGGAAAAAAAAAAATCAAAAATCATTTTATATTACCTTCGCACTTGAAAATTAGGAATATATATTTTTAGTTACACTTTAGCTAACAAAATGGCCAATTTATCTGTCTTCGACCAAAATATGTATATACATTACGGTGTTGATTTGTTTGTGGACGTAAGAAAATGATAATAGATTTTAAAGAAAATTGGTGACSGTAAGGTTAATTACTATTAATTTGCGACCGTGAGATTTATTTGACGACCAAACGTATTTGCAGTATTACTTGTGGAACTTGACAAATAATGAAAAATCAAATCGATGAAATCACATGTGGTATTAAAATATTGGTTGGCATTTAACATTATCCTTAGTTTTAATATAGTAACTTTTATTTGTTTGGGCAGTATATGACAACTCAAATGGATCTATTTATCTCTCTATATATATAGCTTATATTATCATCTCTCTCTTATATATACATGTGTATCGATTAAATTACAAGTTCGAACTTTATTATGTATTTAACAAATTCCAAACTTATTGGATATTTTTTTAAAATCAATAGACATATAAGACACAAAATTCATATATCACTAACTTTTGGATTCTATATTTAATCGGCCTACGTTTTAGAAAGTTGATACAAAACTAAAAATTAACAAAAGTTGAAATATTTATTAAACATTTAAAAAAATTATAAAGGGGGAATGGATGATAAAATGAAAAGAGTGGGATATTGCCTGTTGGATAATGTTTGGTGTTGTGTGGTCGTAGGGGGCGGTGGGACAGTGAAGAAATCTGACAAAGGACTGTTTGGGAAACACATCGATTCAGGTGATAAAACTTTTATACACAGAAATGCCCCCACCTTCTACACAGGGGCAGGGAACTTACCTGAACCAGCCGCCATTTTGTCTGCTCATTAAGATTTTATTTAAACCACTCAGACACAGCCTTTTTTCTTTTCTTTTCTTTTCTTTTTTTTTTACCTTGGCATTTATTATTTTAACCACCCCTCTCTCCCCTTATTTACTTTTCATAACTTTGAAATTCGAATTTTACCCATTGCTTTTTACCATTCTGCTGTGCTTTGGGATTCTTGTAATTTTACTAATCTTCCATGTTCGTATTCAATAAAATTACAAATATATATATATATATATATGTAAAGCTTTCAATTCATTTTTTTTTTCTTAAATAGATTCATATTGTGCCCTTTTCATATAATACATGGACGGGGATTCCAAAATGATGATTATTAGAAATATGTGCTTCAATCCATTTAGTGGCGTTCAAATTAGTCATTTTAATTGAAGTTTTTTAGTAAGTCATACAATAATAATAATGGTACAAATTTATTCGATAGAAAACAAAAATACTGAAATGAATTGTTTTGATATAAAAATCTAACTAGTGACTGTAAATTTTAGATTAACTTCGAAACTGTAAAAATGTCAGACTTCTTGTGATTGATCATTTGAATTATTATTAACTTTTGAAAATATGTTCAAACTCACCTCTAGACTAAGATGGTAAAATAGTCTTTTGTTGGTTTGTACACTCAAAATTACAAACAAATTATGCACTATAAGATTTTGAAAATTAAATTTTTTAAATCGATGTATTTTTAACTTTTAAACTTTAATAATGGCTTTCAACAATGTGGTTGTTTAAATCAAACAACAAATTTATAATTATAGTGACGTTTTTGTTGTACACATAAGGACATGTCACGAATATATGTAAATGTATGTAGCTGAGTTCTTTTTAACACGTATTTATTTATTAAGGTATCGTCATCTTCTTGAAGTATGTCTATTGCTTGTATTTTAATTTGTATTATATATATTTTATTATTTTACATTTTTATTCAAATTTAAAAACTGTCTCGATAATTAAGTGCATCAATGATATCAAGAGAGACCATGTCGGTGACAATCGATTCATAGAACACTGAGGATGTATTTAGGAGTAATGATAAAAACGAGTTATTTAAAAAATATATAAATATATATATATATATATATATTTTTAAATATAATTGATTTTTCAAAACCAACGTATAAGTGATAAAGTGATTTTGAACTCTTCTAAAATCAATTTTAGTCCAAAAATGATTTTGCTAATCACTCCCAAACAAACATATATAAACGAAAATAAATTGTGAGAATAGATTATAGTATTTTGTTTATCATAATTTTTCGGTTCTTGCATGTGGGAAATAGTTAGGTTTTATGTGGAATAAGTTCGAGATTCTTTTAGCATTATTTCACCACTTTATTTTGTTTATTCGAATCCGCCACAATTTTTTTAATTAGGTATATGAGTAACATTTATTAATGTTTCTTAATCAAGCATTTTCATTTGTCTGGTTCTCATTATTGAAAATAACCTTAAACTAATGGCTTGTTTCCAAATTAATTGTAAGGCAGAGGGAACAAAATTAGATAATGGTAAAAAAAAAAAATTATTTATTGTGTGTGTATATATATAGTTTCTTATTTTATAGCCAACATTTTAAAAGTTATTTCGATAAAATAAAAGCAATTTTATAATTAAAACCCTCAAATCGATATCGTCTAATCACTGATATAAATATTAGAAGTAATTATTGTCATTATAAATATTCATTTATTGGTATACTAACAAATATTCATTTATTCGGGTTTTATTATAATTTTTTTTAGATATGTCTATTGATAGTATTGTAATTTATGGTGCATTTTATATTTTTCAATATTATAAATTTATTAAATATTTAAAATTTTAACATAGAAAAAACAATGAAGATATAAATTGTTTTACTTTTCTCCCCTTGAAATGTAAATCAAACGCAAAAAAATAATAATTCGTAAAATACATTTTTTTATCATAATTGGTCCCTAAAGTTTCAAAATGAACACTTTTGGTCTTTGAAGTTTAAAGTAGATGTCAAATTGGTCCCTGAAATTTTAAAATGAACATTTTTGGTCCATGAAGTTTGAGAAATAGTTATAAATGATCCATGATTTTTTTTACTGTTAATTAATTAATATTAAAATGATATTGCAAATTGTAATTAAATGATTATGTCCTAGCGAACGATGGTGGCAAAGACGTGGTGGTCGTCGGAAAATGGTAGGAGAAAGAGAGCGAAGAGATGAGGAGATGAGAGAGAAAAAGTATAAAAGTACCATCACCTACACATATATTATTTAATTAATATAATCTGCCACATCAGCAACTACAATAAACAATTTAATTGCAATTTGCAATGTCATTTTAATATTAATTAATTAACAGTAAAAAAATCAGTGACCATTTAAAACTATTTCTCAAATTTCATGGACCAAGTTGACATCTACTTTAAATTTCAATGACCAAAAGTGTTCATTTTGAAACTTCAGAGACCAATTAGACACCTATCTCAAATTTCAGGAGCAAAAAATGTTCATTTTGAAATTTTATAGACCAAGTAGACATCTGCCTCAAACCTCAAAATCAAAAATGTATTTTTCCAAAAAATAATCATCAAATTGGCGGATAGGCCAGTTTTCCAAGTTTTTGCTTCAATAAATATATTTGTTTACTCTTTTCGTACTTTTTATTTTGTTAGTACTGTTCTAGAATAGTCATGTCAAAAGAATGTTTGAATATATATATATATATATATATATATATATTTATTTATTTATTTATTTAATAGAGCATTAAATACTAATTTTATTATCTTTGTCTTGAAATTATGATTTCTAACTTTTTTTTAATTATTTAACAAAATCATAGATAAATGCATACTTTGATAATTTATTTGATGGGTGGATATGCATATGGAAAATATTTAAAAATTAAGTTTAAATATTATTTTGATTCATRTACTCTCAACTTTAATTTATTTTGATTCATGTATTTTAAAATTTTTTATTTTGATTTCAACCTAATTAATAGTTAAATTTGTAATGTCGTCCCTCATTCAATACCATATCAAATGAACCATCTTTTGAGTGTGTGATTTTTTTGGTACAACAAATTTGAAATATGATGGTTTGAACAACCTCAAGAAAAATAATAACCGTTAATTACCGTTAAGCTATGCTCATATTGAATCAATTTGAGTCAATATAATTTCAACCAATGACCCATTGTTATTCATTAATTTTCTATTTCATTTATTTCGATCATAATTTTATTATGATACTTTTTTTACTAAATATTTTGAAATGGAACCAAAAAGTTATATTAAAGAGTTTCTAATATATATAAATTTTGTGTTCAACTTTGACCAGTAGATACCTAATTGGTAACTTTTTATAAGTGCGGAAAATAAATATTTTGAAAGTACACGGATTAAAATAAACAAATGTCAAAAGTACATGAACCTAAAACAAATCAAAGTAAAACGTTAAAGGACCACAATAGTATTTAAATGATTAAAATATTAGTTTTGACATGTACTTCCAACGTTGATTAATTTTAGTCCCTATACTTTCAAAATGTTGGTTATTGTATTTTCAATTTTGGTTTATTTGAGCCACGCACTTACAAAATGTTCAATTTGGTCCCTTTAAATTTAAAAGTGACAATTTTGGTCATTTAATTTTATACTTAATCTCATTTTTCTGTCACAATTTCGATACGACCTTAAAATCAATATATTTCTTAAAATGTAAACATTACTTTATACTAAAAAGTTTCCGTTATTTTTAAAAGTACAGAAATTGAAATTAACATTTCCAAAGTACATAGACTAAAATAAACAAAAATTGAAAATTACACAGAATACAATGGTATTTTAACATATTTAAATCTAAAAATAAAATATAAGTGTCAAACAACATAACTTAACAATCTGATACGTAGAATGCATAGATAGAACTTAAAAATTTGTAGTCATACTTAACCTACAAAAACATGTGGATAGTAGGCTTGAGATTTCACATCTTAAAATGGATATAGAAATAAAATTATATTAAATAAATTGACAAAACAATTACAAAAAAAAGTATAATATATTTTTAAAAGCTAGATACGGAAAGAAAAAAAAATCAAGAGACAATATTTGAATATCATGATTTAAATATTATAGATACCGTTATTATTTATTGTTCTCTAAAAATTTAAATTAAAAAAAATTGAACTTTAAATTAAACATTGAAAATTTGTATGTTATATTTACTTCATATTATAAAAAAATGATAAAGTAATATTTCTATGTTTGTTGTTTATAAATTTTACACAATGTTTATAAATATTTATTAAAGAAAAAAAACGAGATACATCAACGGTTACCACTTATAAAATAAAATCCCAAATCAGAAGGGGGAAGATAACATTGTTATCGTTCTTCATTTTCCCTCCCCACAGTCACAATCAGAATTCAGAGCCTTTTGAGAAATGCAATTACTTATATAATATATAATATTAATATATAAAGAAGAAATCCGTGTCGTCGATGGCAAATCGAAGCGGGTCCTCCTGGTTCATCAGAAGTGGCAAAATTTTGAAGTTTTTTAAACCACTCGCGATCCATGGCCTCATTCTAATGGCCCCAAAGAGCAAAGGTTGAAAATTTTCAGGCAATTAATTTTTCTTCTACTTTTTTTTTTGTTGGTCTCGCAACTTATTTTTCAACATTTTTCTTTTTACATAACGGCATTTTCTCATCTCCATTTCTCCCCTTCCTTCGTCCCCCTCCCCTCTCCCAGCCATATTTATACAACACGCTCGAAAAATTTGTTTTTTTGGCTTATATTTGCATGAATGAATGAAACTTGATGAGCCCTTCACCCTGAAAATCCCAATAAATCATATCCCAGAAGAAAGCCATCGTTGTCTTTATTTTCCCCCTGATTTCATTTTCCCGACAAAAAAAGAAAAAAAGGAAAAAAAAATCCCTTCTCGCATTCCCTTGTCTTGCCCACTACTTTTTTTGTTTGGTTGCCTCTTCCCTTTCCTCCGATTCCCCGACATAAAAAGATGAGGTGGGAAAGGGTCCAGCCACTCTCCAGACAGGGCCAAGATGGAGCTCTGGGAGAGATATCCGGGCCCGGTAAGAGGTGGGGTCACACTTGCAACGCCATTAAAGAAGGAAGGTATCTCTATGTCTTTGGGGGATATGGGAAAGACAACTGCCAGACTAATCAAGTGCACGTATTTGACTCGGGTATGGAGCTTTTGCTTTTTTTTTTCCTTCCCTTTTCTCATAACCTTTCTGTTCCTGAAGGTGGGAAATAGCTTGGTTTAACATTGTTGTTCATGTCTGTAGCTGTTTGAGATTTTTTTTGAATACCCTTTTCAGTAATGTTTGACCCCTCTCTGTTTGTTTTTGGTGGTATTCTTTGTTAGTGTTCCTTAATCAAGCACTTTCCTATGTCCTGTTGTCTTTTTTTGCTTTTTAGGAGACTTTGATGGCAAAAGATTTCAGTTGAAATGAGCTTGGTTTTAGTGGCAATCGCTATTGTAAATTGCATGTGGTTTGCTGTGGTATTAAAGTGGAAAAGCATTCAATTCCTAGGAATTACTTGTTTTTGATCTTGTCCTCCTGCCCCCCTTTTGAACCATTTATTATTTATTTGTTTGTATTTTGGTTTTAGATGTGCGTGATTATTTTAGGCCCCGGTTGATAACGATTGCATTTTTTTAGTTTTTAGAAATTATATTGTTTCCTCGCTATTTTCTTTGGTATGTTTTTTACCTTTCTCAAAAGGCATTTTTTTGAATTTAAATTTAAAAAACAAATACAAATTTTTGAAAACTCCTCCTTTTGGTTTTCGAAATTTGGTTTAGATTATGATTTTTTTTGGCTTAAAAAGTAGATAACAAAATGAAGAAATATGTAGCTGGAAGTAGTGTTGGTAAGATTAATTGGTTACTAAACACAAAAGTATACATGCATGTGTATTATCCTTCCTCATTTAGATTGCTGATTTGCAGCAAAACAAAGATGGAGTCAGCCTGTGATGAAAGGAAGTCCACCCACTCCAAGGGACAGTCACACCTGTACCACAGTTGGTGACAATCTTTTTGTTTTTGGGGGTACTGATGGGATGAACCCTCTTAAGGATTTACATGTTCTAGACACCTGTAAGTTAATTTTCCTCCATTTTGTTCTCCTAACTGTTTTGATACATGAATATTCTAGTGTCCTCAAAGTTATATGATCCTTTATGTTTGGCTGTTTTCTTGCAGAAAAAAAAAAGTTTCTATGGCTATGAGAATCAAATAATGTATTTAACTTTCTTTAGTTAACTGCTCCAGTTTTCTGTGTTTATTAGCTTTGGAATGCTAAATATTGGAATGTGGCTATACATGTTATTGAAAAATTTGCATAATTGCTTCATTTCTAGCTGTGGATACATGGATTTGTCCAAGTATAAGAGGTGAGGGGCCGGAGGCACGAGAGGGTCATAGCGCGGCCCTTGTTGGCAAACGACTCTTCATTTTTGGTGGTTGTGGCAAATCTACCAGCAACAATGATGAAGTGTACTATAATGATCTCTACATATTGAATACAGGTAATACTTTTTGCTTGTAAATTGAATCCAATAATTCTGGCAAATACCAATTTGTGACTATTTAGGACTTTTTTTAAACTTTTCAACAGATTATGCCTAAGCTAGTCTAAACACTTATTATTATAGAAAAATTTTCTTTTTGTAGTTTCATGTCATTTCAACAGAACTGTGGGAATGCAGTAAGGATTATTTACACTTACATGGGTTTATTTTTTTCTGGGAAACATTTAGAAAATTGTAATGCTCGATGGTCTGTGTTTTGCTGGATTGTGATACGTGTTTGGTTCTCTATTAATTAAAAATACTGCATGAGGGCTTGAGGGAAGTGTATTCCTTCTGTATATCTTCTTTCTGCCTTAGCCAAATCTAAAGGGTATGTTATAAAGTGCTCAAGCTTTTCTTTATGCACATTGCCACCTGTATCATGATCTTGATTGTATAGGTAATAATTGGTGTGGTCTGGATTACTTTTATTACAGCCTCAAATGCCTGTTAATGTAGAAAATTTTCCCTATATTTCTAGAGACATTTGTATGGAAACAAGCTACAACATCTGGGACTCCGCCGTCTCCACGCGATAGCCATACTTGCTCATCCTGGAAGAATAAGGTTATAGTTATCGGTGGCGAAGATGCGCACGACTATTATTTGTCAGATGTCCACATCCTCGACACAGGTTGTTATCATTTTTTTCAAGTCACCTTGCTATCAATCACGTCGCTGATAGTAGATGTTCATACAATATATGCTGTGTCTTATATATCCTGATTTTCTGTTTGGCATTTTATTATAGATACTCTAGTGTGGACAGAGCTGAACACTTCAGGACAAGTATTAACGCCCCGTGCTGGTCATACAACCATAGCATTTGGAAAGAGCTTGTTCGTTTTTGGTGGATTTACAGATGCCCAAAATCTATACAATGACCTCTATATGCTCGATATTGGTATGTGTAAATTCCTCAATAGCACCTTTGTAGAAAAAATGGAAAATAAGCTTGTCTGTAGTGGCATGAGGCATTTGCTACATTTATTGATGCTTGTCCGAGTTTTCCCCAAGTTGAATAGATACTGAATGCTGAGGGGCACAAACTGTCTTAATTTTTAGATAGTTCCTGAAAGATTCATATGTATAGAAGGTAGATCTTGATCATTTGGCTAAAATTTAGGAGTTGAATCTCTTTACAGAACTTCCTTATTTGTACATAGAGGTTGATGATTTTTCCATTGTCATATATTTTTGCTTTGGTAATTATATAGTGAAATATTATATATTGTAGATTAAAACTTATAATTCCACTTCCATTTACGATCTTCAATACTTGGTGTAGAAACTGGTGTATGGACCAAGATCACAACTATGGGTGATGGGCCTTCTGCTAGATTTTCAGTGGCTGGGGACTGTTTAGATCCCTACAAAGTTGGCGTACTCGCTCTTTTAGGCGGTTGCAACAAGAGTCTTGAGGCTCTCGACGATATGTTTTACTTGTTCACAGGTTTATCCTCTTGTCATTTTTCAATTTGGCAAATGGTTATGGAAATTACACCACATAATACCTCATCTTTGTACTTACCAATGGCAAAGGACACTAGGATTGCTTGTTGACCTTGATCCTTTCACAATCATTGAACCATTGAAGTGTGTATGGTCTCGGGTGGGGCTTGGTCTTCAATTGTAATTGATCCACCAAGGTTGAACTTACCATATTAATACAACTTCCTCCATCGATGACGTATCATTCTTTAAATGTTGACCTTTCTTGAATCATAGTATCTTCCATATGATTCCATGGTTGTAAATAATTTGCGAGTAATTTTCCTTTCAGGACTTGCTAGGGAAAATGAGAGGAAACTAGAGAAGTTGTCTTTGAGAAAGCAATTGAAATTGAAGTGTCAAGAACAGAATCTAAATGCAATTCATGGAAGAGCCATGGTACAAATTGGAGTTAGTGCTGATGTGTACCAACCAATCACTGTGCAAGGCTATGAGATTCCATGTAAGGATGTTCCTCTTGTAGTATTCCATGTTATAGTTCTTTGCTAAAAGTTGTATACATTTTCCAAACTCATGAAGGTACCTTTTCTCTGTTATGTACACCTCTAATGGCAATGGAAAGTTGGTTTAGTGAACACACCTTTCAAGATGTGTGCTTATTGCTTGCCTCGGGAATCTTAGTGTTTGATGGTAGTGCAATGGAAACAAGTTTTCAAGTTGATTCGATTTTCTTTTTTGTGATTATCAAGCATACGGCTTCTCGGTGGGCTTCTACATACCAAAAGGCTTTTTGTATTTACAGTCTTTTTTTTTTATTATGCAAGATTGGAAAGCTGTGATTGTATAGTCCTTAGGGGAGGCCGCCTTTAGGTTGTTTTGGCCATTTTTTGGGTGTTTTATCTAATATACCTCTTTTGTCTCTTATCAAAAAAAAAAAAAAAGACAAAAAAGATTTTCTTTTTTTCTTTCTTTATTATTTTTATTTTTTTAAGTGTTTCTTTTAGTAATAAGCAGGCTTTTATTAAAAGCTACAAAGGAAGAGGGGCCAATAAACCACCCAAAAATAAGAGAGTTTTTAAAAGCTACTCTAATTGGTGTTAACGGAAATTTTTTATTTACATGGAAAGGTTGAGAGCATACACCAAGAGAAACCCACAAATTTGATGATCTCTTAAAGCTCAGCCCACCATCTAGTGTGTCTCGAAAAGTTCTATGTATGATGTCTTTCCAACCATATTTCCCATGAGGTAGCCATAACTGCTCATCACCAAAGAGTTTCAGCCATGCATAGTGAAGAGATGCCCAAAACAAACTTTTTAAAGGTGATTACAGTGCTAATATTGCCATACGGTATGGAAATAGCTATAAGGAAGCATGTAATGGACTTAGCAGTAATGACATAACAATATGACAAGTGATTGTTACTATTTTATGGAATGATGGCATGATTCTGACTGAACTCTGATGGCATGATGCTCTAATGTGCAGACAAACAAAGTTTTCCATTGAACCAATCTCAGCATCTTCAAGGAAAGAAAACATTTCAAGCTAAGGTTACAGAAAGCATACCAAATGGATACACAATCGAAACTGTCATTGATGGGAAACCTCTGCGCGGAATATTGTTTTCCAACAAACCAATCCCTACTCACTTTGCTCATCCTAGTACTATTAGGTCAGACTGATGGCTAAAAATGTTCATTTTATTCAAGTAATTATACCTCATGTCAGGCACTTGTCGATCTCTTCCTTTTCTTGTAATGTTATGGTTTAAAACTTGAAATCCTGAAACCAGGAAGAGGACTTTTGGAGATATTGGCACAGTATCGAATGGTGATATCAACATCAAGTCAAAGACTTCTCGATCAACCAAGCAAGATGAAGTAGATAATAGAGAACAGGATGGGAGTAATATAAAGGCGTCTGCTACACATGAACCGGAGATGGTTGTCTCTCCTACCATGCCCGTGAAAGATCCAGCATCTTCTGATGCTTCTCTACCATCCAAGGTGACACCATCCCTTTCCATTTCCTTATCCTTTTCTTTTACCCATTGTTATTATTCATTAATTTGAAGAAGCTTTCTCTGTGAACATAACTAATATTGAATTGAAATGGGAAAAAAGTTATTACTTCCATTATTATTCATCTTATTGTTTGACTTTGGATGTCGTGACACGTGCTGGCCATTTAGTGAAAATACAGTGAGGCTTTATCCATTCCAGCTATTAGCTTATAATTTATGTATTGATAGACCTCCTAAGATGTTCATTTCTTAGTGTGTTGTTTTTGTATATATACGAGTGTGTATATATATATATATATATATATATATATATATATATATATATTTGTGAACTAGATAGTATTTTCAGAAGTGTAAGATACACCTTAAGGTAACAAACTTCTTTTCTGTTATTAGAGCCAACAAAACAGCCTACGGCAGGGGGATGAGAGCCCCCTCCCTAAAAATGCTGTTTGTCTAAATTTCTAATGAATAATAACAAATATATTACCAAAGTCTTAAGGCCAATATGTCTAAATTTCTGTGGTTGGGATTAGTAGTGAAGGAGAAAAGCTCTTGTGGGTCGATCAACGTTCTGGATAGCATTAAAGACTGACATTGGTGCAACTTGTGCGCTCAGGTTCCCACCTTATGTTGAAATATGAATTCTTATACTTATTGGTGTCAAATTTTCTTAAGGGTGGCTAACAAGTTATCCAAGTGAAAACTTTTTGGGGGTCCAATTCTGGTTCATTTTCAGGAACTCAAGTAAAGGGAACTTTATCTTTCCTAAGCGGAGTCCATTTGTTAGTTCGGACTCCTGGCTGGTTTGTTGTATGTCCTTTAGTTTCTTTCAAGATTGGCTTCTCATAGAAAATGATCTTTTGTATGCTGAATGTTGGGATGGAAGGAACTTTGACCTTCACGAAAGCGTTGGATGGCATTCCCTTTGGTTCTTTCTCTTCTAGATTTTTTTGTGTGGATTTATCTATAGGGGAGGATGATATACATCTAGATCTGTGCAGTCAAAAGATTAAGATTTTTCTTTGATGTTTTTTTCGAGGAGGAATCAATTCCTGAGAAAAGTCTAAGATAGAAATCTAGACCTCCTTCCCCTACTTGGACAAGGAAATTGCAGATCACTTGTTAAGGGTGAGGCTACAATGGTGTGCGCTCCTCAACACATTTGGCCTGGCAAGTATCCAAATAAAGTCAAGTTCTTCTCAAGGGAGCATAACGACGGAGCTTAAATAGCCACGACCAGATTCAAAAAGAAAAACCAAGCCATTTGCATGTCTCGTCCCTAGGATGATGTCCTTTATGCTAGAGAGATTCGGAGTCAGGTCACCTTTTCCTTAGTTGCTCTTGGAAATTTACTCGTGCCTTCTGCATGGCCCTTCTCATGGACATCATCAATCTCCTTTCAGATAAAGAAAAGAATATTATTTGGCTTCAATTGGAGGAGATTATGTACAACTATTTCGTGTAATTATATTTAGTTGCAAGGTTGAGGCCAAGACACACGAATGACACGTTTTTAACGAGGGCGAATCAAAAGTCTACTTATCTAGGAATTCTATCACCTATAGTTTCACATCATTTTTTTTCTTTGATTTCTCGGAATTGATGCCATGTGACTTACGCTATAGATCCCTATAACTAGGACTCGTTGCCTGGGTTGAGCAACACAGTGACCAGTATAGGGCTTGGACCCAATACCTCATAGTCGGTGATACCACAAGGCCCAAGGATGAAACCATCTCAACTAAAAAGAACACTTTTAATAACTCTCCCAATTTACCCCTACCAGAGAAGATTCCTTAAAGATGGGGTTTAGAATTTTCTTCTTCAAGTGCTGGTTTTGCTTGTAATTATTTATCTCTACTTGTAAGGGAATCTTTGCGAATAAAGTTATTCCTTGCTGTTTTCTTTTTCTGATAAAGCTCCATATGAGAGTCGTGAAAAAAGTTAATCTATCTATGGCACCGGCATTGTTCATACCATGACCATGAGAACATCATCACCATTTTATTAACTTGCAATATTACAATATTTTTTTTCTCTTTTCAGGTGAGTTCGAGTCCAGAATTGCCTCCTTCGAGTCTAAAGGATATTCCAATGCATGTTGCAATGGATATCGACATTGAAGTTTCGGGAGATACGAAGACAAATGAAGCACTGGATTCCAAGACAGACGTTCAGCAAGAAAGTATACCAGCAGCGGCAGCTCCAGACAAGGAAACTATTGCCTTCTTTCCCGACCAAGGTACGGTTGTACGACGAAATGGCCTATGTTGTATCACCTTGTCTTCTAATCATTGTTTCTCTATCAGATGACAGAAGGCCTGCTGCTATTGGGGAGGCAATCGAAGTTTTGAAGTAACCATCAAAACGACAAACGGGCAACGGAATGCAATTGTGAAGATAATCCATAGTGCACTAAACCTCTAGCCATTTGTACATTCATAGGAGAGCACAGATGCACACTAGGAAACTGCTGTGACCTACCATCTTCTAAGTTCTAACACATCTAAATCTGATCATGTCGAATCCTTTCGATGATTTTGATTCTTTTCCTCGTGCTAATTCGGGTTGTACGTAGTAGTTATATCATTAGAGTTCGGCGAAAAGTTTTCTAGTTTGTCCATTTGAACGATCCATCCATCATCCATTCGCTCTTTTGCAGATTCTTGTAGACTGCCATTCTTGCTTCAAGGAGGAATGGACCGTCGTTCAGCAGCAAACGTTTTCTTCTTCTTCTAGCTTTGTGTTTCATTAGCTGCTGAAGCCCTGTTCACTTCTAGTTTTCTAGTTGCCACCTCTTGTGTACTGGGAAAAAAATTAGGCATTACATTAGGAGTTGGAAATGTTTATGTTCTTATGAGATTCTTCTTAAAGGAAATTGCAGCACTGTAGTTTTTCCCCATGGAAATTACAACTTTTGTGATAGTTTTGTTCAGTTTCTGAACCAAGCCCTAGGGAAGAAGTATGGGTGTGCATGGTTTGACCGAACCGTACTATTCGATCTGCTGTATGTGCAAACTGAATGGGTTTTCTTTTTGTACAAACACGCTTGAAAATCGAATTGGTTTGGTTTGGTTCGGTTTTTATTTGTGGCTTAAATATTGTGTCATTTTCATTTACATATTTAATTTTAATTTCAATCATTTAAGCTCTAATTTAGTTTTTTTCCTTTCAAGTCCAGCTTAGATTCTGCATTTGGATTAAAATTTAAGCTATACTTAATAAGCTTGTTAGCATATTTGACTTTGCCCAAATTAAATGTTACTTCTTTTTTAAATTCATTTTTTTATTATTTTAAAAAATGGTTGATATGGTTTCAACAATATATACATCTCTCTATGAAAATTATGTTTTAGATTTGATGGCAAGTAAAATTAAATAATGTGAAACTCTAGGTGATAGAGTTGATTAACAAAATTTTCTAATTTTCTGGACAAGCATGCGAGATCATCATCATTTAATTGAATGATGTTATTGGGAAATTTAATAACGTGATCGCAATTTTTTTAAATAAAAAAGAAAAATTACAATCATGCACTAAACTTTTAAAGTTTCACTTCACAATTAATCAATTAATACATTTTTATCTCTTAAGAATGATCGGTGGTTGTCAATTCAAACATAATTCAGTAGATAAAATATTTATTTCTATTTGAAATATTGATGGTTTGATTCTCCATCTGTGTAATTATTAAACTCAAAAAAGAAAAAAAAAGTGATGGATGGTTTGAGATATTTGTATTTCCTCTTGGTTGTTATTGTATTGAAAAATTATATAAAAATGTTCATATTTTAAAACTTTCTTCCTAGGTTGTCCTTTTAAAATTTTAAAATCGAAAAATTATATATGTATAAAAAAAGAAAGGTTACAACGGAAAATATTATTCTTACCTATAAAAATTATATATATATATATTCAGAATATTAATTATTAATTAATAATAAAAAGTTGATATCTTTTTGTAGGCTTGGGTGGCGAGCGAGGGATCGAACTGCTTCTTTATTCTTACGCTTTGGATGTAACTGGGAGGGAACTTGGAATAGAATCTCATCTGTTGCTCCGTGAAAGGATCAGATACAGAAGCGTTTCATTGGCCGCCTCTGATAGGGTTCGAGCCACCATTTTCCACGCTCTTCTGCTCTGATTTCGTCCAAAAACCCTAATACTCTCTCCACTTTCAATACCTCAATCTTGGGTTTTTGTTATAATCTCAGGGCCTTCGAATTTCCTTAACTGGAGGTTCAAATTTGAATCCCAATTGATGCGGTGAGTGGCTTGAAACTCGTTATTTGCCATTGGGTTTTTTGTTTTTTTTTTGTTTTTTTTCTATTGCTTCCCTCGCGTGTCGTTTTGCGGGATTGTAGTGGGGAAGTCGGTATCTTAACTTTGCAATTCTTACTGTATTGGTTGATGGGATTGTTAGAATCGGTCTGTTCTTCTGTTTTTGTTTGTGTATTGTGGAAAAAAGGACAGTGTGCGAGCGAAGATATTATTCTGTTTCCGGTCGGAGGTAATGCTGTGCGTGTATCGGGCTACAAAATGTACCCGGAACATGGCATTTGATGAAAATTGTTGTTTAGTTATCATTGTTTTACTCAACCGGGTAATGAGTAGTTATGGTTAAAAGTGATGATACTTGGGAGGTTGAAAGCGAAGAATAGAGATATTTCCCTCGATTTTCATTATTTTTAAGCTTCTGCTACCATCAATGAATCCCATGTTTGGGTTTCCGAAGTTACGTTTCCTCACCGATTGCATGCATGATGCCTGGGCTTAAAATTTGTTTTGGATGAGTTTACGACGTGTATGTATATTCGAAGCACAACTTATGTACTGTTGGAACTGCTTGTTGATCACACCCAATCTGCCTTTTTGCTTGACAGGATGATTTATCAGTGGCTTGAGCTGAAGAATGTGCCCGTGCCTTTGTGGTTCTTTTAATACAATTTACCATTGTGTAAGTATAAAATTCTAATTTTATAGGATTTTAGATGTATGGTCCAGCAAATTATGCTTCTCAGTTCGGGCAGGGTCCTCAGAAACCATGGCCACCTGCATACCAACAGCGTGCAGTTGCACCTCCTCCGCCTCCTCCTCCTACCTCATATATGCAACCAGGCCCTCCAATCCCATCACGTCCTATAACTCAACAAGCACCTGCCCCCCCACCTCAGGCTGGTCAACCTCTTCATCTTTCTCAGTCGGGTCCTCACGTTCCACCACCTCCACTCTGTCAGGGCCCATCCGTTCAAGTGCTACCTGGTGGGATCCCAAACATCCGTCAAACTTATTTTCACACTTTTCCACCAGTCCATGGAAGCACACAAGGTTTTCAATTTAACTCAAGTACTCAGCAGAATGTACAACTTTCACAGTCAGGAGTTCAGAACATGCATCATATTCTACCTCCACCACCCCCGCTACCACCACCACCACCACCACCTCCTCCTCATGCTCCTAATCCACCACCACCCCCTCCTCATGCTCCTAATCCAGATTTATTACGGCCTCCACAACCCTCTACAGTAGTACCTGTTCATCCTCCTTCACAAGGACAAACATTGTATGGAGCTCGAGTTCATCCACCATTGCAACAAGGTGGTTTGCAGGTCTTTCCCTCTATACCACAACATCCAACAACGTCCAACTTCCCTACTCCTCCTTTTGGAGGAGTTATGCAATCAAATCTTGGAGAGTCTCATTTGTCTCCAATGGCTCCTCCACCACCACCATCCTCTCCGCCACCTATTCCACCTTCTCCCCCTCCTCCCACGTCGCCCTCCTTTTATTCAATTCCAAGCTCGGGTTCTTCCAACTTGTTGTGCCAGTCTGAATTTGATCCTAGTTCTACCATTAATTCTAGTAAAGAATTGAAAGCCTTTGAGTCTAATCAAGGAGGCACACCTACCAGACATTTAGGGGATAACGGACCCAAGCATAAGCATAGAAATTTGGATGGCAGTATTGGCCTTATGATGGGTTCTAAAGTGGACAATGAGATATTGTCAGATAAAGGTAATGTGCAGGATCTTCCTCCATCCCCACCTAAGCCAAAAGATGATAAAATTACCAGGAAGATAGGAGTATTATGCAAGTACATTGCTAATAATGGTTCCAGTTTTGAAGACACTACTCGCCAAAAGGAATTTGGGAATCCAGAGTTTGAATTTTTATATGGTGGTGAACCGGGAAGTGAAGCTGCAATTGGTCATGAATATTTTCTGTGGATGAAGAAGAAATATAGTTTGGATTGCAAAAATAAAGAAATGGAAGAAAAATCTCCAGTGAGATCTTTAAGAATTGGGCCACAATCTGAGTCTTTGACAGTGTCAGCAGCATCCATTTCACCTGAAAATTCCGACATGGAGATGGAAGGTTAGTCTTAGTGTTAATAAATCTCTTCCTATACGGTAACGTTTGACATTGGTGCTGAGTTTATAAGTCTTTTTTCTGGGTTGATTGTTTTCCCTTAACAGATGTTGCGTGATCTATAACCATGAAAGCTTATTACTTGAGACAATCAGAGTGAAATCTATGAAGCCAAGGCAAATTCTCTGCAGATTGCAGGGGTTTTGAGAAACTTACTATTATATTCATCACATGAAAATATTGTGATACTTTTGTTTCATGTGTATACAGCTCTGCTGCTTCTACTAAATTTCTGGTTATAAACGCATCATTCATTTAATTAAAGAGCACATTTAAAAAAATATATATTTGGGCTAGGAATTTAAAGGAGTTATATTTCTTGGCTATTTGGATCTTAGGCATTATTGAAATCCATTTTGTATCCTGTTAAATAGAATGTCTCGTATGTTTCTGGTAATTGTGTTTCTTTATATCTGTTTATCTGTACTTCTGTTTTAAGAGCTTCAATTTTGCTGTGAAGAAAATTTCTCCAATTTAAGTTGATAGGTCAGTTTTCTAATCTAATTTTGATCGAAAATTTTGTCCAGTTGGGAGATTAGAATAAGAAGAACTCAAGGGATATGGTTGTGACGTTGTTTATTTGTAGCATGAGCTCTGTAAATGCTTAATGCAAGTACCTTGTAGTAACTGGAGTACTGATTTTTTTTCCTCCTTGTTTTGTGTGGTTTCTTACTGGTGGCTTCAAGATGATATTACCCCAGATGGTATAGGGGAGGAAACTAGTCACTCCTTTAAAATTCAAAGCTACGAGTGCAAATCAAGAAAAGAAGAGCATGATGCAAAGGATCAGTTACAAGGACCTAAAGATTTGCAAAGAAGCAGCCCAGTGAAGGGGAAAGTAGCTGAAGGTATGCATTTCTATCTTTTTGCGTTTCTTGTTGAATGGGTTCATGCATGGCACAGATTTTGCTTTGTGATATTGTGGTGCTTTGTGTCTTACTGTCAACAAAGTTGAGAGAAAATATTGTCTTTTCACTCAATGAATTCGAAGTAGTTAAATAAGAGTTATATTTCTCTTGCTGCTGCATCTTTTAAAAAAATGAATATGGCAAGACAGAATCTTTTCTTCTTCTTAGAAGGGTTCCACTGGGGTAATAGATAAGAGATTCTGACATCACTAGGAAGAACTCTGCTTATTAAATTATACTTGTGTTTTTCTTTCTGCTGAAAAATTTGAACAATGTAAAGCTATGGTTTGGATATCAAGCATAGTATTCTTCAGTTTTTGCTTTTACTTCTGTTCAAATATGCAGTTCCACAGTTCCTTTCAATTCAACCTAGTTGTGCCATGCAGAGAGGATTTTGGACGAACCTGGGTGAGAGTTAAATTAATTCCGCAGGAACTTTGTAGTTTGTCAGATTAAGTCATGTGAATAAAACCAATGACTCTGATCTGCTATCCTGGTTCTGAAAAGTTGCATTGATTTGACAACACATAAAAGGTTTCCTTCAAGGTTTTTGATTTGTGAATTTCTTATGAAGTTTGTTTCTTTTATCGTATTCCTCATGTTGAGATCGCAATCATGGGATTACTGCTTTTTCATCCTCATTTTTGTATGTCTAATAAGCATCTACACTTCCTATTGAAGGTCTTTTTTTTATTTTTATTTTTTAAAGAAAAAGATGGAGAGTCAAAGCTTCTGCTCGAGCATGAAAAATCTGTCAGCCTGGAAGCTTGCCAAGTTCACAGCCCTGTCATAAATACTGCTGGAGTTGTTGAACAGCCTTTAGGAAGCAATTTTGAGATTTCTGTTACCTGCATACAAAATGAAAAAAGTCTAGCAGCTTCTGAAGCTGTTAATTCTAGTCTGTCTACTGAACTTATTATTGGTGGCAGCCCATTCAGACTTATACAGGACTACGCTTCTGATGAAAATTCAGAAACCGATGAGGAATCACACCTTAAAGATGTCAGTTTTGCTATCTCACCTTCAACTCCAGCTTCTTCCAAGACTTCCGGAAAAGACAGTGATAATTTGACTATTCTGGGATCAGAAGGTTCTTGCCAGGTTCAACGGAGTAATGTTCCACCTTGTGAAGCCTCGATGCCTGATTTTGGTTCTCAGTTCCTCTCGGAATCACCAAAACTGATTTTTGATGCCAATGAGGCAAATGTGAGAAGGGCAGGGAATGAACGGAACTATAAAATTCATCAGAATCAAGTTGGCACCCGCACCAGTTCTAAGTCTTTGGATGCAGATGCAGTGAAAGGTCGTAGTGTTGATGTTCTCCATGATAGTCACAAGTTACAAAAAGAGAATGATGAGGAAAAGCAGAAGTTTGGATCATCGCCTGTAAAAATAGATGAGTTTGGAAGATTAGTCAGAGAAGGTGGTAGCGATAGCGATTCAGATGATTCACACTATACAAGGAGACATAAGAAAAGAAGAACTAGAAATAGTAGTGAAAGTCATTCTCCTGTTGACAGGAGGAGGGGGCGAAGGAGTCCGTGGAGAAGAAGGCAGAGGCGAAGTCGCTCACGCAGGTAACAATACTTTTCGCATGTATATATTGTTACTTACAGTGTGAGTTAATTCACTCAATGTTATTAAGGAACAATGTAGCCTAAGCAATTATGTCAGATTAGATATGCACTTGTTTCGTTAACTTTTGAGATTATTGTTAATAGAAAATTTTCTCTTCCATTGTTTCAGTTGGTCTCCTCGTAATCAAAGAGGCAGAAGCAGAAGCAGGTCTCCTGTCAGCAGGCGTACAAGTCAGTTTAATAATGAGAATATGAAACGAGATAAGGGTATGATACGAAAATGCTTTGACTTTCAGCGAGGTAGGTGCTATAGAGGAGCATCTTGTCGCTATGTGCACCATGAACCCAGCAAGAATGATGGATCAAGACACCATAGGAGCAAACATCATGATGTTCATCCAACTTCAGAGAATATAAAGGGTAGAGAGGACACTGTGAACATGTCTAGGGAAGTATCAGATCCTGGGCATATTAAAGTTGAGAATCAGGGGTGCATTCAGCATAATGTGTCCCCAAAAGATGATACCCATGATTGGAAGAAAGGTAGTCCCACTGGTGATCCAGATTTAGATGTAACTAAATGTCAAAGTTCTAGAGATAGAGCTGGCTTAGTTCAAGAAGAATTAATTTATTCCAAAGCAGCAGAGGCTGTCCACATTCACGTTAACGAGAATATTCAAGAAGCAGGGAAGTCTTATGAGCAACTTTCAGTTACGGCTGCCTCACAATGCATGAGCAATGCTGATACTGAGAAATTATCGGGTGATATTTCCATGAGCATGCTGACTTCTGTAGAGAAGTCTTTGGCTCATGCTCAGCAATCCAACATGTTTGCTTCAGAGTTTGAAGCTGCCAATAGTGTCTCACACCAAATGGATGGTTCATTTGTCTCCCATTTGTTACCCGATCAAGTAACTGCTGTCAGTACCAATAAAGCTCCTGAATGTGAACATTTTCCTGATAAAAATTCATTAATTAAGCTCCAGTTTGATACCAGTTCTGCTGGTCAGCAGCCTTCGACCTTACAATTTTTATCTGAGTCTCCAGTACCAAAATCATTATCTGCTACTGCTCCAGGTTGTGCTATGGATGATGCCCATCCTCTAAGAGAGCTGCCCCCTCCGCCTCCTCTCCCAACTTCATGTGTCACTAGTGCTGATGTTCTAATGCCTACCCCCTATAACTTTGTGTCACAAAATGTGTCCTTTCCTTCTAAGCCTTCTCTACCGGGAGGTTTTCAACCTCATCAGGATATCGTATCCATCCAATCATCTCATTACCACAGCACCACTTTCCCGCCTTCAAGACCATTATATGATCCAACAATGGCTCATGTAACTACCAAAGATGGTACGCCAATGCAATTTCATCAGAGTCATTTGTCTCAAGGAAGTGATCGGGGTTCTCAGTCTGTTATGAAATCCCAGCCATTGGTGACAAATTCTCATTCTATGCTTGGTGAGTCTCCAGTTCGGGAGCCTTATAGAGCTCCATTGCACATGGATGAAATTAGATCAACCGCCCCAGTTGCAAATAATCGACCTATTCAGCCCTTTGGATTCCCCAGCTTTCAGAAAGAAGAAAACTTTGGGCGGACTTCTGTGGAGATGAGTTCTTCTAGTTTTTTTCCCCATCGGAACTTTAATGATCAATCTATGCCCTTCACAAATGCAAATAGAATGCAATCTTCTGGTGACAATTTTCCTCCCAGTGAATTTCGAAGTTCATTTTCACAGTTTCATTCTTATTCACGGTTCCAACAGCCATTATATGCCTCGCAATCTGCACATGATAGTTTTTTACATGGCCCAAGTCAGATTGGTACTATATCTCGACATTATCCTGATCCTCTAAGCAGGAACCATTCGTCTTTGCTTCCTGATTTTGGGGGTTTGGGTATTACCACTTATCATAATCCTTATGCGTCTACTTTTGACAAGCCACTTAGCTCCAACTTCAGATCTAACATTTTGAACTTTGGAAATGATGCACCTAGTGGTGATATACGTGATTCTACTTTCAATTTGAGCAATGTTCGAGTTGATGGGCAAGGTGCTAATTATTTTGGATCAGGGCTGACAACTACTTCGCCAAAATCCACCAAACCTTCGGGGAAACACTTGCCCAGCTCAGGTGGTGATCAGTATGATCCACTCTTTGACAGCATTGAGCCATCACCACCTATTACCAAGAAATCTGATCGCATTCGAAAGCTGGAAAAAGCAAGAGAATCTCATATGATGACAAGACTTGGTGGTTCCCATAAATTACCAGATGTGGAGGAGAACAACAAGCATAAGGAGGTTGCTGCTGTGGCTTCAACTACTTCTCTGGAGAATGATGAATTTGGGGAGACAGCAGATGCAGAAGCTGGTGCTGTTGAGAATGACCTTGATGACGAAGAAAACTTAACCGGAGAGATTGAAATTGATCAGGTTAAGTCCTCAGAGAAGAGCAAGAAATCCAAAGGTTCCAGGTCGCTGAGGCTTTTCAGGATTGCTATTGCCGATTTTGTGAAGGAAGTTCTAAAACCATCATGGCGACAGGGCAATATGAGCAAGGAAGCTTTTAAGACAATTGTCAAGAAGACTGTTGACAAAGTATCTGGAGCTATGAAGAGTCACCAAATACCCAAGTCTCAAGCAAAGATAAATAGATACATTGATTCGTCACAACGAAAACTGACAAAGCTTGTTATGGTACGTTATCTTTCTCTCTCAAAAGAATTGGATTATTTTGGTACTTATCTTAGAACATTAGAGAGTATACTCCCAATTTGTAATTCCATTTGCTTGAAGCTATGAAAAACTTGTCGATAAAATAGAAAAATTATAGATAATGATTTGTTGGTTTACTTTTGAAATTGAAAAAGAAAAACAGTAACAAACAACTACTGAAGTAACTTCTTGGTAAACTTTTGATCTTATGAAGTATATTTTTGTTAGAACATTTTCTTTAATTTTATAGCAGAAAGACAAACGATGTAGCTACTGGAACTCATTCCCCTTCGGCTACAATTATTTAACGAGGAGAGCAAATGTAGATGTATGAATGTAACAGGTTTTAGAAGAAAGGGAATTTTTAAGGTGGTATTCATAGATTATTTCCACAAAAGGTGATTGATATACTATTAAGGTTTAATTTTTAAGAATGTTGCATTAACATGGCACTCAATCTTATGGCCTTTTTAGGATTTGTGCCTTTTTGAGAGGGGTTTTGTTGCTCTGCTTGATTTTGTAGATGATTAAGGTTTAATTTTTAAGAATGTTGCATTAACATGGCATGGAGAGGGGTTTTGTTGCTCCGCTTGATTTTGTATATCTCATTCTTTTGATGGAATCTTGTTTCTATTTTTATAAAAGTTATATTCCATTTGTTTATTCTTTGCTGTGTGATTCCTTTTTTTATAATTCAAGCATTAATACTGTCCTATATGTTATCCAGGGTTACGTTGACAAGTATGTTAAGACATAGAAAATGAACGAAAGCTGCAATGCCAATGTGGTGGACTGATGAGAGCAACATTATTATGGATGCTTCTCCCCTTGTGGTGGTTATCAGGAACTATGCATTGTTGTTTGACATCTGCAGGGGATGGATAGGTGATATATCCATAGTGTTGGTTGAAATGTCGGTCAGAGTTAGTAATGGTCCTGTGGATACTGGAGAAATGATGAAGCTTATGATATGTTGAGCATCGTGACACAAGTTCTTTTAACATATGATTCTCATTAGAGTCCCGAGGCCGCAGCAAAATAACGTGTATGTAATATGTTTTCCTGAAAAATATTTTGTAGCCTTTTTTATACTTTCTAGATATCTAATTGATGCAGTAAATGTTTGCAAATGGCCGAGTGTATTTTTCTCTTCTTCTCAACATTGTAGTTGTATTGAGTTAGTAGAAAAGTATTGTAGTTTGCAAACATATTAGGAAAATATGTTAATTTTGCTGAGGTAGTGAGGAACTTGTCTCTTCAAGAGAGAAATTGATATTATGAACCGTGAACTTGTCTTTTTAAGAGATGATGAAGGGAGAAATTGATATTATGAACCGTAAACTTGTCTTTTTAAGAGATGATCTTGCACATGTCTCAATCCAACGCGTTTCTTGAAGAGAACAGTTTTGGTTTGGATGATAACTACCATACTTTATTATTATTTCTACTATATTTTATAAATTTTCTTAAAAACTATTATATTTTCCCAAGAAATCCGTTCAATCTGTGAAACATTGCTTATTGTTTTTAATCCCTACCAAATGTTTATGTAATAATTTCCAGTGACAGTAGAATGCATGTTTTTACTTCAAGGGCGTAATATAAGGTAGATATAAGAAGCCTTGAAAGTTTGCTTTGGATTTTGATCGTGTTAAATGAATACTACTTATCCTTCCTCCTTGGGTTTACTGCAGGAAACAACTAAGTGATGTGATAATACTTTGATCTTTATGAAAAATCTGTTCATGCTTCTGGTTTAAGGACTTATTGAGGAGCATTCCATCATCCTTCAACCATTTAGTGACCATTGACTTCCTTAGAGTTGCACTTTGCGGTCTTATTCTCAGTTTATTGGTATAAGGTATGTTTAGGAGGAACAAATTGTATTAGCATCAAACGCATTTACTTTGTACCTTTGCAGATTATTACTTAACTAGGATGAGTATATATGTTCAAAATTTTGGATTAGTTTAGGTCATGTCTGTATATCCCTCGTGTGTTTATTGACAAGAAAATGTAACAGTTGGGCTTCTAAATTACAAGGAATTGTTTTACAATTTGAATTATATGTTGGGACGAATACTGTAAAATAGATGAGTTTGTGCTGACTGCTTGAGAAATAGATTTTGGCCTTGTTTTCAGTAGCCTTTAGACCCTTATTTTTTATCTGAACACTTTGACTATGTAATGAAGGGAAGRAGTCTGTTGGGTTAAGGTTAGACCAGCTTTTGAGATTGTTATTCTTCCGACTTTGTTGCTTATGTTATTGGAGAATCCTTAAAGAGAAATATGGGAATTTAGAGAATGGTATCTATGGACGAGACTTGTCTACCATGATGAAGTATGTTTTCCTTGGTTCAACATGTGGAGTAGTTTGTAATTTCAGCTTAGCCATGATGGTCCAAGATTACTTTGTATTAGTTTTTGGGAGGGGTGCCCACATCTCCATCCTGCTGTTTGGAATTCGAATCTCCAACCTTTTGATTGAGTATATACCGCAACCAGATACAGACTGGCGGGATAAGCTTCCTTTTGGCTTGAATTGATGGATGATCTTGTTCTTAGAGCTACAGAAATTATGAAATGATTCCATTCAATCTCATCAAGATGCTCAAGTTACGACATGACACTAGTATTTCAGACCCAATCAAGTCAAGTCATGAAGTGATATAGTATTATTCCTCTGATCAGAACCAGTTTTCTGATGTCAAAGACTCTAGAACTAGAAGCTTGCTTCCTTTTTATGTTTCAGTTGGGGAGGAGACAGATGTGACTCCAAAACTGTTCACAATTCAACCGTTCCAAGGACGGGATCTGCCAGCAAAGGGTGTTTGTAATTTTGGTCGGAGAGGACCGATTGTGTTATGTTACGAACTACTTAAGATCTTACTCTTTGTCAATCTGAATATATTTCACTTGAAGAATTGTAGATTTGTTATCTGATTTGTGAGGTCATATTTTGAAAAGAAAATTTATGAATAGATGAAGATATATCTGTTAGAGGATCCAAAATTTAAGGGGATTTTTTTTATTAATTTGTTTTTAGAATTGTTTTATAATACTATGCTTAAAGTAGAATGGTTTTGTCTGCAATAATTCAATTGATGATCTCCTTTTAATATCTCTACTTGTATTTTTTGACACCATTTTCAAATGGTGCTGATGGTTTTTCCCCCTCTATTTCCTTATTTTATTATTTTTAATAATTGTAATATCAGATCTTAGGATATCATATAAATATCACTTATATTCTTTGATGATCAAATAAAGGTGTTGATTGCATTTTTGTTTTTTTTTGAGATACAAATAACCAGCACATCACATCAAAAATCAAAGGAAAGAGAAAGAAAGTCGGTTAGTTCTTAATAACCATAGGTTTATGTTCTTGGATATAGGGGAGTTAAAGCTCCAATTTTCCATTATCAATAAAATAAAATAAATAAAATAACAATAGGTTTCATTTCAAATAATTTTTTTTTTCCAAATTTGTTTAGATTTTTTATTAGGCTAGGCATCCAACAGCCATAGGAGTTAGATTTTATGTTTATCATTTTATATATAATAATTTATTATTTGTTTTAAAAATATATTATTTCAATTTTAAAAAGGAGTACATTAAAGAGAGTTCTAAAATCACAATTTTTGAAAATCTTATTTATTATTATTATTTTTTTTTTCACTTTCCCTACAAATCAGTAATAGATAAAAATATGAAATCAATACTACGAAAACCCAATTAGGGTTTATGTCACCTAGTAAGATGATAACACCAAATGGCTTAAGAAAAAAAAAAGTTCCTCTCAAAAAAAAGAAAAAGAAAAAGAAAGTTCGAAAATAAATAAAATTTCAAATGAGCTAAAGAAATATCTCTTGTCCGTCCATGGGAACTTAAAAATTTTAATTTGTTGACTAATTGTTTAATTTATATACCATCAAAAGTTATGAAATGTTTTTAAATAATTAAACTAAATAACTTATTTTGAAATTAAATTTAGGGCATCCTCTGATTTTGCTGATGCGCATGCTTTGCCATTGCCAGTCCTCGAGTAAAACGCTGAGGAACAAGACCTGTTTGGTGACACGGATAGTATAACCTCGACGGGAATTAAACGGAACCGCAATGGAATTTCTTTGTCCAGGGATAACGCTCCAAATCCGGTCTCATAGTTTGCAACCTACGAGGAAGAAGTAAGGCGGGGCGGCTCGCGGTAGTTCAACTTCAACTTCTACATTCAAATTCCTTCGTCGTCTCTCTTTTCTTCTGCAAGTTTCTGCGAAGTTCTCTCTGCTTCTTTCAGATTCTAACGGCCATCGGACTCTGGAGGTTTCCTTTCTTCTCTAATCTTCTCTTTTCTCTTGTTTTGGCTTTTAATTGTCGTTTCGTAGTATCTCGATTTGTTTGCGCGGTTCATTGGCTGCTATTTTCTAATCTGAAAATGTTCATTTGTGGTTATTATTGAATGGATTCATAATTTAGCTTCCTTTTGATGTTGAACTCTGCTACCGAGTAATGGCATTCTTCTCCCTGTTTAATTTGCTTTGGGTTCGATGGTAGAGCAAAGATGTCATTGTGCACTTCAAAATTTAGGTATTTATCTATATTGGTTTTGAAGAAAACTTTCATTATGGTTCATTTAGTCTACCATCTGGAGCCTGGGTTTAGGAAAAGGTTGGTAATACTGATAATTGGATGTGTAAAGGGCGATACTTCTGCATCTCATAGGTGGTTTTTGTTAGAGTGCACGTCAGGGTGCAACATGCAGAATAATTGGCAATTAAGAATTTGAATTCTTTATATCTGACTCACTTTTTTTTTTTTTTTTCTCTTTTTCAAAGTCTGCACCCGCTCAAGGGTTTTTGATTTATACAGTATCCATATGCCTCAGAGTGCATTATCTTTCCACATTTATATTGTTTGGGTACTAGGGCAGAGTGTATGTGATTTAGCTTTAAGGATATCTCTAATATTTTTCTTTGGCATAAACTCCGTTTTAGATATTCAATTAAGTGGTTATGTAATGGGTAAATTGGACAGGGCAAGGAAACTGAGAGATTGTGTAGAAAAAGAAAATTGTATAAGTTGGATTCTCTCGACATATACTTGAGATGGTAAGAAAAACCAGTTCTAACTTTTGTATTCTTGATTGTAATGCTATTTCACCTCATATTATTAGTGATGAAATCCTTTAAATTTTCTTTTGGAGAATTCATATCTTTCACGTTTCCCTCTGTTCTCTGTGCAAATTTTGTTTATGGGTTGATTGTAGTTGTCTGTTGGTTTTTCTGCAGAGAACTTGAGTTTTGGTATTTAGGATTTCTTGCTTCTTATAACAAACGTATTTGATAGATTAAATGTAATAATAGGCTCGAAGCCTACACAAACCCAAAGGAGATGAAAAACATCCTCCATGTGCATAAACTTTGGTATACTGTATACAATATGTTTTTGTCCTTGCATCCCATGTTTTGAAGTCTTTCCTGTTTTCTTCAGCACATATATGATTACTTCAATTGAAAAGCTTGTGGACTTATGTCTCATGAAGCTTATGTTGGTTTCTTTCCCCCATTTTGTTTTCTGCTGCTTCTGAAGTTCACCAGGAAGTCAAAAGGAGGGGATTCCAAAATAACTAATACCATATACCTTCACAACCTCGCTAGTCTTAAGCTTTGAAGAAGACAGATTCGGAAGTATCCAGGTTAATAAGGATGATCCCTGACTGAGAATGTTAAGGTTTCTAGGTGTGTTCAGATTTTTCCTTTGAAATTAATTGCATCTGCGGAATTACACCACAATAGATTAAGGCAGGTTATGGAAATGGCTGTTTGCAATGAAAAGGCTGGTTTAAAAAAGAAAAGGAAAAGGAAACACAAAAGGAGGGGTAACACTACTAGAGGTGATCACAGAGGTTGTGATCCTGCTGAAGATAATGTATCAACTGATAATACTGGTTCTCAAGAATCTCCGAAAAAAATATGCTTAAATGTGGAGCCAGAAATGGGGCAATCTCATTCAGAAGTAAATCTACCGAGGGAAAACAATGAAAAGAAGCACGATAATTTACAATGTAAAGAAGCTTCTGGAATATCTGTCTCAACCATATTAAACGTTAAAGTTCTTAAAGAAGAAGATGGGATGTCTACATCCCTAAATGCAGACTTCTGTTCGGCAGATGGAAAGGAAAATTCTTTAGTTCCTGAGGAACCAGATGGGGAAGGTTCTAATACAATTAAAAGAGATAATGAGCACACGGAGGCTGTAGATCATTCAACTCCATCAAGCCATGTTGAAATCCGAAGGAAAAGAAAAAGAAATCGCCGTCGTGGAAAGAGAAGATCCGTAGAGTCCCCTAAGAAAAGTTTGGAATCCGATGTGGAGGACGAAAAGGAAGTTGCTGTATTGGGCCATCCTCATGAAGTGGAGTCAAGCAGCCACCTTAAAAAATTTGCAATAGAAGAGGTTATGAGTAGGGTTTTGTTGGATGAATCTATTGACTGCTTAATTAGTGAAAAAGCCGAGTTGTTGTCTGCAAATACAAAGGAAAGCTCTATGGTTTTTGCAGATCCTCTTAGGTCCAAGGATCGTGAAAATATTACGATGGTTAAAAATGATAAAGACTGCTTAGAGACTAAAGATTGTTTGGGTCAATCAAACAGTGATGGTACTCATGAAAAAATAAAAAGAGAGAGAAAAAAACGTCGAAAAAGGAGAAAGTTTGCAGATACCCTTGAAGGAAGTTTGAATTCTGGTGTGGAAGACAGTAGGGAGGAGTCTACAGTCAACTGTTTAAATGAAGCGGAAGCAACAAGTTTGCATGAGCATTCTATCACCACCAATATAGTAAAAAATGTTTTGGTGGAAGAAGTGTCCATTGAATGCTCCATTGGTGAACTTCCATCAGAAATGAAGGAAAGTGAGCAGACCATAAAGCAAAAAGTTCCTCATTTGTTGGCTTGTGATGCTACAAATGATAATGTTGGTGCTGTTCTAGAGACAAAAAGTTCCTCAAGGATATCAAATTCTTCAAATGAAAAAGATGCAACTGGTTGTTCAAAGAAAAAGCTTCTCATACTTGACGTAAATGGACTGCTTGTAGATTTTGTTCCATATTTTCCAGATGGATACACTCCAGACATTATAATATCACGTAAAGCAGGTGAAGGAAAATAATACTAGATGTGACCTTAGCGTTAATGAACATCGAACTCATTATTTACTTGGCTAAATCTTTCTTCTTTCAGTATTTAAGAGGCCCTTCTGTGACGACTTTCTACAGTTTTGTTTTGAGAGATTTGAAGTGGGGATATGGTCATCGAGAACCTGGTAGTTCAATCTAAAGCTAATCAATTGCCTTGCTATTTCAACTAATAATAGTTTTCAATATGATTTCCAGTTGTCTTGATTTTTGCGCACATGTAATTTTAGCATTAGCTTTGCAAATTTTAGCCCTGACACTAATCATGCCCATATCTTGTGTTATATTTGCAGGAAGAACCTGAACATGTTAGTTAGGTTTCTTATGAGAGACTCCAGACACAAACTACTTTTTTGCTGGGTAAGCCATGTCATATCTCTGCAAAAGTAGGAGTATGCTTCACCTTGCTACTAAGAAATTGTGGGGTTGTATTTAAGTTAACATGTAAAATTTGCTTATGTTATTTTTAACCATTTTTCCAGATTTTTCCAGATTTGTTTACCTACGTTGATGAATTATTAGTGGTAGAATAAATATTGTTTTACTGGAAAGTGCCAAGCGTATAACCTGATTAAAACAAAACTTGTGTTTGTTTTTGAGGTTCGAAATGAGAATTCAAGGAAAGAACGTTAACTTTTATTTTTGTTGTTTTTGGTAAATGAAGAACAAGCAACTTAGGTTCAAGTGATTTAGCCTTTTGGTAACCTACTGATTGTATTTTTGATAGCAAGTCAATTATCTGGCTTCCCCCCACCAACAAATTTCTTACTCTAGTATGACAATGCTAAGACGGTTGATGCAGGATCAATCGCACTGTACAACTACAAGGTTCACCACTATTGAGAACAATAAGAAGCCCCTTCTTTTGAAAGAACTGAATAAAATATGGGAAAATTTGCAACCTAATCTTCCATGGAAAAAGGGGGATTATGATGCATCAAATACATTATTGTTGGATGATTCCCCATACAAGGCCTTGCGCAATCCAGTTAGTTGAAAACCTCTCCTCTTTTCTTATCTGAGAATATGAAACTCTTTCAATTCTATTGAAGCTTATTTAATGGCTTTTTGTCTTGGCTTATCATCATTTTCAGGCAAATACTGCAGTATTTCCTACTACATATCAGTACAAGGACAGTGATGATACATCATTAGGTAAGGACTGTGCCACATGCATAAAGAGCTAAAGTTGAAGAAGAATTGTTGTACACAGTTGAAGAAGAATTGTAGATTTTTTAAAGAAGTAAATGTCAATGTCTGGCATGCATCTAAATGCTTAGGACGTCCTCGTTTTTTTGTCTCTCTCCAGCCATACAAACCTAAAAGAAAAGCTGCAATGAAATTGCCAAATTTTCTTTTCTTTCTTTTTTGATGAGAGACAAAGTCATTGATTAAATGAAATATACAACAAAAGGCTCTCACTAGGGAAATTACAGAAAGCTCTTCCGACTAGTGCAAATAGTGGAAATAGATTAGTTACAACTTCTTACACCAAGTGTTGAAAGAAATGCCTTTGCCTAAACTCAACTCTAGAAAGCTGACATGTATCTTTAATAATCTCATGGGACACCCTCGTAATTCCTTAACATCTAGCATGGGAAAATTCATTGGATGCTTATATAGTTGGCTATTATATAAACTTGTAATTTAAATGATTCGAGATACACTGACAGTGCAATTCATGAAGCCTGGCCGTTACATGTTTGAGTTGAGCTGTATTTTTCAATCCCACACCAAGTTATTTTTCATAAAACTATAGTTTCTTATAAACATTTTCTTAATGTCTATTCTAATGTCATCTTGGGTCATTTTCATAGAACACTTTTTATGAAATTGACATGATAAAGAATAACCATTGGTCATAGGATTTCTTAAATTCCATATAAAATAAATAAATTTCCGTTCAATGTTATTTTATTTGTATATTACAGTTAAGATAATTTTTGATTTATGCATGAATACCAATTTTCTTTGGTATGGAATTGCTTTAGTGGTTCTGACCCCTGAGTGTCTGTTAGTCATCATGGGTTGTCAATTATTGCATGTATGAAAGGTCCGTTTACAGGCTTTAGAAATTTAACTTGATGGTGAATTTCTTGTCGCTACTATCTTTTCCTCCTGCTTAAACCGCAGTTTATTTATTTTATATTTTTCAGTGATTACTGTCAATCTTTTGCCAATGTCTTCTTAAACATTTAGTCTTCCACAGGACCTGGTGGTGATCTTCGCACTTATTTGGAGGGCGTATCTATGGCAGAAAATGTTCAAAAATATGTTGAACAGAATCCATTTGGTCAAAAACCCATTTCTGAATCTAGTCCTTATTGGAAATTCTACCGTAAGATTATAAAAAGTGAGCAAAGTTAATGGAGGTGCTCGTTGGCTCAAGTATGAAGTCTCTTCTAACTTCCAAGTACGTGGTTGAGTTTGTGTAGCTCTTATGCTCTGGAAGCGTTTCCGTCACAGGATCCCCATATGCTGATGATTAATTCTCACAAGGATGTGGCCATATATTTAAGACTGGTTCACATGATTTTTTGCTATACTATACAGTAGTTCATCCTCTGCCATAGTTGGATAACCGTTGCTTGCCTTGCAAGATTAGAAGTCTTTTTTCCCCTACATCTTTCAATAGATTTTATGTTTCCTTGTGGCAAATTTTGTAAACTAATTCGCTGAGTAGAGTACAGCTTCACCGTTTTTCTTAAGTGATATTTACTTGTAGTTGTAGATTACGAGCATACAGATCCATTAAATAGTTTTTAGGTCATAATACCCAGCTAGAAATCCTGTTTACTTGAGCCAATACGTCGACATTGTATTTGTAATCTGTAGAAACTTTTGCTTCTTCAAGTTGCTATTTATTTCTGACAAGAGATGGAAGATTCAAAGCAATGTTATGACAAGGATGTAATTGGATTCACTTAACACTTCTAGGTTATATTTCGCTGCTTATAAAGATTAATTGTGTATTCTGCAATGTTTGGTTATCTCAAATACTTCCATCTCTTGCGCTTAAACTTCTTTGAACAGGTTTTGAATTCAAGACATCAAAAGCTGGTGTTCTTGATTCTTCAGCCAACAGGGCAGGAACTTGCCTTGTTCTTAAATTTTTGGATGTTCCAACTCATTGCTGGACACTGAGAAAGATGGTTATGAAAGTAGGCTTTTTTGAATATTTTCCCAACTAATATTAATTTCTGGTGTCTGCCACCATGAGCTTCTGCTGACGATTGATGATGACAGTTCAGTTCGTGGGACTTGGACATCAGCTGCTAAAGAGTCATCAATTCAAGGGAGCAGGTATGTTCATGTCTTCTTGTTGGAATTATACAGTTTTGTGTGTCCACAAGCCCATTTTGGTCCCCTGTCTCATTGCTGGACCCGAAATGACAGCTCAGGGAAGGCCCAATAAGTGCAATTGATTGCCACACCTCTAGGACTAGAAATTTAGAAAAGACCTCTCTACTTTAGTACTTGTTTAGGGAGAGCATTTCCTTCCAGAAAAATTCTAGCCTCCACACCATTTTCAATATGGTGTATTTTTAGGGGTTAAAAGTTTTTAGCGTAATCTACTTTATCTATTAAGTAGAATAGAAATAGACCAATAGAAATACACTACATTGGTGGTGGATAGAGAAGTTCGGTGGGTTCTTCTATACTATGATTAAGAATATTGAATCTGGACTGGCTTTATAGTATTTGATTGTGATTCTATCATATGTATGTATTCATATGATAATGATCTTAATTTGTCTAAATGACGACGTGTCATTGTGAAATAGTTTGATAATAGATTTTTGAATAGCAGAACATAAAGTGACAAATGAAATAAAGAGATGAAGGACTGCAACGACTTTGATTGGTCACTTGATTTTTGTCTGATACAGATGAAACATACCACGTCTACTTCTCTCTCTTTTCTCAAGCATGTGTTTAATTGAGTAATATGATTGATTTTTGCTCTAGATAATTCCCTTTTTCTTGTTTATTTACATGAAGCAATGATTAGTTACTTAAATCTGATGAGTTTTAGTATCTATAATTAGTCTGATTTAGAAAAAGAACACTAATTTTTCAGGAAAAAAAAAACTTTGTATAATGTAATGATTAAGTTGTTTTGATATGATTTGGAGGTAGTATCACTACCCATAACCCTCTACTTTTAGTACTCCAAATGGCATTCTCCAAAAATTTTAAGGCATATTTTAATGATGTTTCTTTTTTTTTTCCTAGTTTAAATACTATTTTGATTCATATATTTTCTATTTTTGTTAATTTTCTATCCATGTATTTTCAAAATGTCTGTTTTGATTCTTGTACCGTCAAAAAGTCATGTTGTGAGCCACTAAAAAGTCATGAGATCGAATTTTCACCCCATATGTTGTACTAAAAAAAGGTCATGTTGTGATCTCTATACTTTAAAAATGATTATTTTGGTCTCTATTCGTAAAATTTTAATATAAATTTTATACCAATAGAAATTATATAATACAGATTTATAGTTACATTTCTAGAAATTCAATAAGTGAAATGTTCGATTAAAAGAAATGAGATAAAATGAAAATGGAAGGTCAAAAATAATCACTTTTTTTACAGGAATCAAAATGGATAGATGTAGATAGGTTAAATACACAATTTAAAATTATATTGAAATATTTTTTTAATATGAAAAAAAAAATAATGGAGAGTTTTTGAAATTTTGTGTTTGTACGTAGTTATTAATTAATATGGCCTGCATGTGGTGCAGTGGCAGTGGTATTTTAGTGGCAACTAACATGTTCTCTCAGTCTCCTCTTTATTACATTACATCATCACTTTTTATTATTAAAACTTTAACATATTTGTTTGTAGTAAAGTCCTTGACAGCTATAGACCCTTGTCTTCGCTCTAACATTTACAAAAAAAAAAAAAAAAATTGGTTTCAAATTAAGAAAATCAATTTATAAATAGATGGCATGGGAATTTGGTTATTGTCAAAAGTGGTCTTCAACATTTTAAAAACGTTTTTGGAAGAATGTGCTTGGTTATTGTTTTAATAAAGCCTATTTGTTTAAGTTTGGGCGATGTAATACTAAGTCAAATTCACTGCTCTAAAGGAAGGAACCCAAGAGGACGAATCTGATCTTTGAAGGGAAGGAAAATCAGCAACGCCAATGTAACAAGTGGTGCAAATAGCTGGTATGAAAATAGATTTTACCAACCTAAATCAAATACAGACTTTATGTAATAATAATGATCATTAAATTCAATCACATCATAATTCATACTAACAAATTTATCACTAAATTCAAAAAGAAAAGTCAATAATATATTAATTGAAATGGTAATGAAACCAAAAAGTATGAATAGATATGAGAAGGGGTAAGTTGTAATCTTCATTAAGCCAAGACCCACTTGGGCAAAAAGTCCACAAAATTTTGTATCATATGCAAACACTTAGCTAGCAACCACAATGGATTGGAAAGAAAAAGAAAAGAAAAGAAAAAAGCATTAAATTCTGTAATTAACCACATGATCTGCTTGGTGCGAGCATAAATGGGAAGCAAAAACTTTGATCTTTACTGTTCTGTTAGTACGTCACAGAATCTGACAAGTTTGAAATCGAGGAATGGACGATTTGGCGTTCCAGCAGAGTTTTGGAGACGAATATTCTTCTTCTTCTTCTTCTTCTTCTTCTTCTTCTTCCTTCCGTTGTGATCAGTACAAATACAAAGGGGATCCGTTCTTCAGTTTTCTCTCTCTTGCTCCGACTCCCGAGTCTTGACAAAATCACATGGACCTTTCGACATTCCACATGGATGCCTCAGATATGGCCGATTAGCTTGGAGTGCATCTGACCCACGTATTGCATTCTCTCTCTCTCTCTCTCTCTCTCTTCTTCCTATTGTTTATTTTGTTGACCAGTCGTCTCCGATTGTTATACATATTATGCTTCTATCTCTTTGGATGTTCAAATTCATTTACTTATTGGGGCATTTCTTCTTCTTTGATCAGTCACGGGAAATCCCCATTTCGTCTTTCCTCCTTTGTGCTCTTGCTTTGATTGCTTGGTCCTTTGTATTTCTTGATGATTCTGGTTTCTGGGTCTCTCCTTTTGGGGTATGTTATTCGATTTGATTTGATTCTCTGGGCTGCCAAACCCATCTGTGGATTCTTTTCGGGATCAAGATTTAGATTGCGAAAACCAGAATGATGACCCGATAGAGATTGTTTTTTGGGCAGTAATATAAAGAGGAAGTGTTTCTGAGTTTCTTGTATACCAATTTCTTGAGCAGAGTTGATAAATGGAGAATGAATTCTGATTCTTGTTGTACTATATATTCAAATGCACGGTCCAGTTGCAGAAGCTGATGTGTTGATTAAATGTCTCTGGCTTCGGTGAAAACAAATAGTACTCTTGGATCATGTTGAGGCTCAGATTTCTTGGCATGAAGGCTGCTCAAATGGCTTGATTTTTTGGTCTGGAAGATCAATCTTGGAGGTGTAAGGGGAAACTTTTGGTTTGGAGTGTAATTTATTTGTTATTTGAGAAGAGAATAGAAGATATGGCTGCAAAGCTTCTGCATTCCTTAGCAGATGACAATCCTGATATGCACAAGCAAATAGGATGTATGGCTGGTATTTTTCATCTATTTGATCGCCACAATATGATCACCACGAAGCGAATTACTCACAAGAGGTTCCCGCCGGGTAATTATTTAATCCTAGATTGCTTAATGCTTTCGTGAATGACCTTAGCTCATCCTGTGAAGTTTTAATCCACAACATTTGTATTATTCATTCTTATTCCATTTTTTCTCTTTTTCAATGCATCTCTGGTTTTTCATATTCCTTTCCATGTCAAAGGACCAAGTTCCTAATTGGGGTCGAAGGAAGTTTCATGCATCTGAAAGTGGCAAATTTCTATCCTCTCATGCGAAAATTGTCATGAAGAGCATGAAAAAGATGTTAAAAAGAATGCTTCGCTGCTTCAATAACCGCTTGTTTTGCACTTCCAATTATCATTTTTCTGATTATCGTGTGTAAAACTATGTAACAATCACTATAGCTAATGTTTCATAGCATTTCCAGTTTAAAGATGAAACAGTTCTGTATGATAGTTCAAATGAACCGTAAATATGCTGTACTGCTTATCAAAATTTCCCTCAGCAGTATACCTTTAGATTATTCTCCAGTTATGCTTCATTTCTCTTCTCTTCTACATTTACGAAGTTTTGATAACATAGCTATTATCTGTCACTCAATCTCTAATCTTGTCTTTTACAGGTCATTCCCAATCAAACTGTGGGAACATAGTAAGCGCTGTACATCACCAAGAGAAAGCAAAAGTAAGAGCCAAATTTTCATATACATACCAAGTTCTCCTTTACCAACAGCACTGTGTCTTATTAGTAAAACTAGTTCTTTTTCATGCTTATTTGTGTAAATGTTGAGTTCTTAAGTTCTTTCATTGCAGGAGTCAAGTCTGAATGAGAATGTGTATGAAAAACATAGTGGGCCTGCTGAATCATCCAGAGACTCTCTCTCCTCTTGTTCATCATCTTTGTCCTCTTTGGAGTGTATTAAAACTGCACAACCGGAAGCGTCCTCCTTTTCCAGGATTGATATTCTCGAAAGTCCACCAATGGGGTCGGCATTGGACCGGTCGAATACCTCTAGTTATTCAGAGAAGCAATCTTTCAATCTTAAAAATGTAGTAAAAGACTCTATGCACAGAGAAGTAAGAACATCATTCGTGAAAATGAACGACATGGATGACTTTGATCATGGTGTGAAATACAGAGACTCTCCAAGACCCCTTAGAATGTCCAAATGTGTAGAGGCTTCTCCTAGAGTTGCAAGAAACGAAAAAGAAGATATTCCGATTGATATTGAGGAGTCTCTTAGAGTTCTTGCTAAACTTCGAGATGCATCTTGGAACTTCAATGAAGCTACAGGGCTTCCAAGATCATCTTGTGAGAATGAAGCAAAACTTGGAAAGAATTCAATTTCAAGGGATTCTCCGCGGCTTTCTTATGACGGTAGAGAGAGAAGCCAATTCTCTTTGGAATCAAGAAACATCAAGTCCAGTCCTAGACTGAAAGAGCTCCCTAGACTCTCACTTGACAGCAGAGAGAATTTTACCTCTGTTTCAGTCAGAACTCATATTTCTAGGAATTCTCGAAATAGTAGCTTCCCAACCGACGAAACCCTTGAGCTACAACATTTTTCAGGAAATAAGAAGCGACTACCTAGTGTTGTAGCAAAATTGATGGGTTTAGAAACATTGCCAGATTCAATCTCTGCTACAGATACTCAATTTGGTGGTGAATCTTTTGCAGAATCATTAGAATCTAGAAATCTGAAAATGTCATTTCAAACATCTGCCTCTGATAAAAGATCGTCCAAATGCTCAACTTCACCGCGGCAGAAAAATCCCGATCTGATTACAAAGCCTATTCCCAGTTCAAGGCTTCCTATTGAAACTGCACCTTGGAGGAAGCTAGATGGAACTCAAGCTTCTAAAAAAGCAGCTTTTAGGCCTGTAAAAGGTCGAGCACCAAACTCCTCCTCTGCTTATGGTGAAGCCGGGAAGAAGCTGAAAGATCTCGAGTCTGAACAATCCAGTAAGGATCTTAGAGCACTTAAACAAATACTAGAAGCAATTCAAATTAGGGCACTATCAGAAATCGGAATGGAAGAGCAAGCTTCAGATTTTGGAACTCAAAGAAACCAAGAACCAAAATCTTCCAATCCCAATCGAAAGACTAGGTTGACAAGCCAACGAAACAAACAGAGCAGTGTAGTTGCAACCTCCTCCGCTGCTAGTGTTCCTCGTTCTTCAAAAGCATATGAATCTCCAATTGTCATCATAAGACCTACAAGACCTGTTGAAAAATCAGGTATACTGCTGGATCGCATTCCTGGCCTCCATAAGCTCCAAAATGAAGGATTTCAAAGATGCTCTAGCAATGGCCAAATCAGAACACGTTCTCCTAAAAACAGTCAAAAGGATTCTGCTGCCATTACATCTGAGAAGAAGTTGATTTCTAGAAATATAAGATCACCTCAAACTTCTTCAAAACCTCAACTAGCGCCTAAAGAAAGCACCACGAGCTCAATAAAGAGTTCAGATTCCGTTAGCCCGAGACTGAGATCAAGGAGGGTTGAGGTGGAGAAAAGATCTGCTCCCCAAAAATCTGATACAAATAAACCAAAAAGGAAAATGAAGCAGACCGATTCGAATTGCCACTGTGAAAAGACAAAAACCAAATCTTCCAATACAAGACAATGTGACGATCAATCAAGCGAGATGAGCAATGAATCAAGAGCTTTAAGTTACCAAAGTGATGACATGACCCAACAATCAGATACTAATTTATCCTCAGTCTCAAAGATTGATATTGAGGTCAGAAGCAGCATGCAATCAACTGAGATCGATGGCAGCCAGAGCCGAGCCATGGAGGAGGCTGCAGAGTTCTTAACAACTGGCTCAGTTAAAAAGGTTTGCTTCTTTTATTGATTTTATTTTCATTCATCTTTTAGTTGCTTGCCACTGACTAATATTTTTGCTTAATCAGTTATCAATTGTAACGAGCAGTGAAGACGGGTCGACAATCAATCAAGATACAATAGCATTAGAGCATCCCAGTCCTGTCTCTGTCCTTGATGCCTCGTTATATAGAGATGATGAAGCATCTCCTGTAAAACAGATTACAACTTCACTTAAAGGTAAAGTTTCTGTCACCAAAATCATGTCGGCTTTTTGTTGGTTTAAGATTGCCAAGAAGTCCAAACATCAGAAACATGGAAGTTCTTTTGTCAAAAATTCTGAGTCCAACTAAACCACATTAGTAATCTCTTATTGACAGTAAATTTTATTTATTTCATCTAATCCCACTGTATAACTTGGTGTCTCATAGGTGATGATTCTCTAGATTCTAATGACGGGCATAGTGAAGACCAAAGCAATGTTGCTGATGAAATTTTTCTAAATACCCATAATGTGGAAATTGACAGTATGAAATTTGAAAATATTGAAGATTTGATTCAGAAGATTAGACGCTTAAACTCGCATCATGACGAAGCAGAAATGGATTATATGGCATCCCTGTGTGATGATACTAATCCAGATCACATATACATCTCGGAGATTCTGTTAGCTTCTGGCCTTCTACTCCGAGATCTTGGCTCTGGCATGACCATGTTTCGGCTTCATCCTTCTGGTAATCCGATCAGCCCCGAGTTATTCTGCATTTTGGAGAAAACAAAGGCGAGGGGCTTGCCACTTAAAGAAGGGTTCAGCCCTGCAATAGCTTCCCATTCAAACAGGGAGAAATTCCATCGCAAACTCATATTTGATGTTGTAAATGAAATCCTTGTTGAAAAATTAGCTCTCACTGACGATGGTGCCCCTGAGCCATGGTTGAAACCAACAAAGATTGCGGAAAGAACTCTTACTGGGCAAAAAATTTTGAAGCAATTGTGTCACGAAATAGAACAGTTTCAAGCCAAGAAGTTCAAATGCAGCTTCGACGAAGAGAAGGATGACTCTAAAAGCATTCTACAAGACGATGTGACGCGACAGTCGGGAAGTTGGACAGAGTTTTGTGGCCGTGAGATCTATGATGTTGTGTTAGATGTCGAACGGCTGATATTCAAAGACTTGGTTAACGAGATCGTTATTCGGTGAGTCGGGATTTCGCAAGACAAAGCTATAGTGTTAGCATTAGCTAGTTTGCTTGCCTTCCTACTGGTTAATATTTGCTTTCTTACAGTGGCAACATAAACTACTGCCCTTTCTTCCCCATATTTTTTGGTGTCAAGCCCAATAATTTGTGATAAAAGCAGTTCTGAGCTGGTTGGTAGTTTTGCCAATATACATAACCACAAGAATCAAAATCAATGGAAATATTTTATTATACTATCTTTCCTTTCCTAACTGGCTAACTTGTTTCATTTAAGAACGTTCATATTTTCTTCTTAAGTAAATTGTAATCAACCAATGGAGTTCTTAAAAACACATTTCAACTCTTAAGCAAATTTTAAAAACAAAAAATCTTTTTTCTAGTTTTCAAATTTTGGCTTAGGTTTTGAAAATATTTTTAAAAATAGAAGCAAGACAAATAGAAAACTAAAAAAAAAAAAGTTATAACGAGACCTTAATTAAACTTAGAACTGAATAACTTTATAACGGATAAAAATTAATAAGTAATACAAAATGAGATAAACAAATTCACATGACAACCTTCACTTTAAGTTGAACATTTTGGAAAATATTCGCAGTAAGAAAAAGAAGGGTCTTTTCTTTTTCCTTTTAACATGGAGCACAAGTTGGGGCTCAGGGACGCTTCTAGAATATTAAATTTGTGTCAACATGTCAATATTTTTATATGTTTATAGGTTTTTTTTTAATTATTTTTTTTAGTGCAACATGTGGAGGTGGGGATTCGAACATGCACCCTCTTGGTTGGAGGTATATGCTCGCTTTGGCTTCATAGGTTTAATGTTAGACACAAGAGTGAATCAACATTTCTATAGTATTGATATTAATAATTTCTAACTTATTTAAACATTTAATCTGTTAAATTAAATATTTGTTATAAATTTTATATTTTAGAATTGTTTCCAAAATATTCATTTGACATCATATTTTACCATAATTTCATAGACATGGACATGTAGTTTAAAACTTAGGGACACAATTCTGAAAAAATGAAGTGGGAAAAGGCACCAATCCCCATGCTCTTCAGTCCTTCACACAGCATGCAATTCCAAGCAATAATTGGTCATTGCCTTCGGGATTCTTTTTTTTTCTCCTCCTTAAAACTCATCATAATTTCAAAAAATAAAAATAAAAACCATTTCCCACCTTGAATGTTATGAATATTTAATTTTTTTTAATACGACAAATTTGGTGATTGCACATTGGACCTCCCCTCCTAAGAAATAACCAAAATGTAACACTATACGTTTAATTCTTATATTTTAAAATTTTCAATTTTGTATCTAATAAGTTTACGACAGTACTTAAGAGTTAGGTGATCAGCAATAAGAGATGACTTATCTAACTCTTCAATATTTTTCAAAGTATATGGGTGTTATTTAAAAATTACCTATTGGATCGATTTTTAATAGGATTTAAATTAATAATAGAGTGAAATTAGAGGATGTTGTAATTTAATTTTAAAGTTGTTCTTAACCATAAGAGAACATGCTAGATAGCAAAAAAGTTGGAAGCAAACTTTTCAAATCAAGTTGTAAATAATTGATTCAAATCTCACCACATTCCAACATATATTATAAATAGAAGGTAAAATACAAAAGGAAAATAAAAAAAAAATCCATTTTTGTTCATAATAATGGATGTAAAACATTCTTTAATTTATTTTTGCACATTTTTCCTCTCTCTCCTTTTTCTTCCTAGAGAGAGAACGGACCACAAAAATAGTGGGGGCAAATTAAAG